GGCTTTGCCAAGGACGATCTTCAGCCTTGGTACATCATTCTGATTACTACTCATACTCCTATATCTGCCTCAAGGAAGCCTTTCATACAGAGAGTTGATATCATCATATATCCCATGAATTATAGAGTAGGAGGAACGAGAGGATGAGGTTATTTAGTGCCCGTGTTGATGCCTAAAGCAAACTGACTCCGTTATCCAAATCTCCTACCCCCCCCTAAAAGGAAAAGCGTCTGTCTCTCTGGTCTTGCGTCTTCCGCTCTCATTGCCAATGCCCAGCTTGTCGCCTCCGTTCACCGTGAAAGTGAGGAAGACTATTCGCTGAAGCCTGTCTCGAGTAGTAAAAGGATGTTCATTCATTCCTGCAATCAACCTGCGACTAACCTGTACACTGCAATGGTTCCTGTGAAATTTTGAAACTTTCTTTCCATCCCCACCCAGGATTTGAGTAAAGCGGCCACACACAGCTTTCAAAACCCCACACAAGAGTCAACAAAGCAAGGAAATCGCTTCCCGTCCCTACATGGCCCATTCCAATGCTCGATAAACCGCCAGGAAATATCATGAAACCTCACGTCTCTCTCTCTGGGCCTTCGTTGCCCGGTTCCATCCCACGTATCTAAATCCCCCTCCGACCTCCTTCGGGAATATCTGTCCTCCGAATTCCTACTTGCTTCCCACAACCCATCGACATCACCACTGGACCCTTCGGAGCCGGCGTCCCAGCCAAGCCAATGGGTCTAATTCAACCGGGCACATCGAAACCACATGCTCTTGCAAATAAAAAGACATTCCGTTGACTAGAGGAGAAGAACAATATCTAAATCCCGTGTGGACGGGCCTATAAACATGGCATCCGGCAATTAATAGCCACCTCAGCGTAGGTTGTAAATGTTGCACTGACATCAATCTAGCTGACTGCGGGTTCCGATAGCATACGTTACGGGTAGCAACAACGCATCCTTTGGCTACTACATCACGAGGGGGGGCCGGTACTCCCCTACTATGAGAAACTTCCTCTCGAAGCATGAAGCATGAGTTACTGCCGCCCGGCTCTGAAGATCGTCCAGCGTCTGGGATACGGCATGCACATAAAGTCCAAAGCATCACGAAAACAGTTGGGTACGATGACTGCCGGTCGTCTCTTCTGTGGTGTCAACCAAAACGTACGCATCAATACAACGTCAATGCAGTAGAAACATGAAGCCTTGCCGTATGAAAACCCGTACTTGGTACCTGTGCTGCTAACTGTCTGATCGGTCCATCTTCTAACCACACCGCCCGCGTAACCTCTTTTCGAAATGCCAATCCGCCGTCATGTGTTTTGTGTCGACGGCCGAACCGCCTTCTGTGTGCTGGTGAAACGAAAGAGATCCCAAACCGCAACGCAGAGCAATGACCTTGACCTAATCGTACGCCAGAGCTGTCGAAGAGAGAGAGGAAAGCCGTCGCCTGTCATACTCGTCCAACCATCATGCCTCGAACACCGTCTAAATAGCGTACTTGCGAGTCCACTCGCGAGCAGTGGCCTCGTATCTAGCGCGGTCCGTCTTGTAGACGTGTGCAATCTCGGGCACAAGAGGGTCGTCGGGATTGGGGTCCGTCAGCATTGAGCAGATGGAGAGCAGAACTGTCACGTGTTAGCATTGCGTATACACGGGCCTTTACGTGAGCTATGAGGCGTGAGCTATGAGGCGACGTACCCTTGGAGATGGTCAACGCCGGACTCCACTGGTCACGGAGAATATCTAAGCAGATGCTGCCGTTGGAGTTGATGTTGGGGTGGTAAATGCGAGTGGTGAAGTTGACCTTGGGAGGCTTGAAGGGGTAGTCGGTAGGGAAGTGGATGGCGAGGAAGAAAACGCCGCCAGAGTAAGGAGAGTCGCCCTGGTACCAGGTGTTAGCCAAACGTTTGTCTCGTCCATGCCTTCAGTTGAGAAGCTGTCTTGTTCTCGGGTATCGGCGCCAGGTCCAACCAATAAAGCAACCGGAGAGGGTAAATAGACTTACGGGTCCCATAATCGTCGCTTGCCAGTGGAACTGTGCGAATACCAGTCAGCAAATGTTTACACGCCCTTTGCCGACGCTGCGAAGACGTGATCTCGTGCTCGGCTGAGTCATGATTCAAGGCATCACCACGGCGGGTGCTTATCGGGAAAGATGAAGTCGACATACCAGATCTTCGCCGACGGGGCCGGCAGAGCAGGAAGAGGGCGGGTCACTGTGAGAGGAAAGAAGTCAGCATGGTGCATCTCTTGGTTTGTATTTGTCGGCTCCATGCCGCCATCGCCGTCGACATCAGTCACCCGACAGGACGGAAAAGTTGCAGCAGTCCTTGTTGAAGAAGACCCCGCTCCCTGATGGCCCCACCTGACGTCTCGGGCTGCGACAAAGAGGCTGAGAGTCAAAATGAAAGAAAAGGTGTGGACAACGTACCGGCCGAGGTCAGTGAGCTCCTTGTTAATGCGCTTGAGAGCCATTTTGAATGTGGTTTGTGGTTGGGGGTATCTAGAAGATGGTTGATCGCCGAAGCGCAAATGCTGTGTTCTGTTGTTGTGAGGGGCAAAAGTCAGCGAAAGCGGTCGGCGGTGGTGGGCTTTTTTTGGATGCGGGATGCGGGCAGACGTGGGTGGAGGGATGGTGGGCTGCACTGTTACTGCTGCCGCTGCTGCTGTTCGTTTGTCTTTTCCGGCGGCTGCGAGAGCGACACGACGTCGGATGCTTCGTAAATGCACGATGATGCCAAAAGGCGTTTGTGTTCGATTTGGCACTCAGGGGATGTGTACCGGAGACGAAGACGATTCTCGAGGTGGCCAGCGTCGATGCAGCAGCAGGCGTGGGAAGCGTGAATGTGACGGTCTTGGGTGCAAATCATGTGCTGCTGTGGTGGGGGGGAAGGGGGCGTACCAGAACGAGGAAGGATTTATCCCCGACGAAGATGCTTCTTAAAAGAAAAGAACTCGATCGTGTGTATGTGGTCGTTCGGATCGTCGCCCGTGAGGGATATTACGCGGTGTTGGGCGAGGTGGTCGTGGAGGAATCGATTCGCTTCGTACGGTCCCGTTACAGATTGATGTCGAAATTGGTTTGGTGGTGGAGGGAAAGGAAGGAGGAGGAGAAACTACGGTCGGGCCTGGCGAAAAATGACGGGAAGGGGTGAGTCGTAGGAAGGCAGGAACCACTTTGGAGGGGGATGGAAGTGGGAAGGAGGGGAGGGGAGCGCCAAACCTAAGGCTTAAAGGCACTGTGAGGCTGCCCAGGTGGTGGCTTCAGGTTCAGGCTGGCACCATCCACCTCACTCACTGGCAAGGGTAGTAACCGCCCGTACCTTCCTTCCAACTTTACCCTCAGAGGTACCCTTACTCTGAGTGCTTGCCTTCCAAGGATTCTATTCGGTCTGTGAGCGTCAAGAAAGCAGGAGCCAGGCGCAGCAAATGGACAAGTGGCTGGTGACTAATGATTTACCTCATGATTGGTGATTGGTAATTACCTGTCTCCCAATCACGGGAAGTCCTTTTCCATCTGAGGTCGGCAAGCCATCACACTCATCAAGTTCCCATTCGCCTTGTTCAACGACCGTGAGCCATTCACTCTGTTCCTTCAGCCTCAGGTGTCAGGCAGCAGGCGTCATTCAAACCAAACAAGCTGTGGTTCTCCCGGGCCCCCCTTCTTACAGTTCCAGATGCAAAGGGAACTTGGAGGGGCAACTGGTGCACCGCCACATTGTAATATACCAATACAAGCAGCACTCACTGATGACAATTGCTGACTGGTGGCAGGCTTGGTAATTTGGTAATGCCATATGGTGACTCAGCAGACACCTCACCCTCCCCAATGTCCAGCCCCGAACGATGCACTTCCCTGGTCTTCTACCAACGTGATTGACTGGCTGACTGCAACACCACCAAAGTAGCATCTGCAATCTCGATGCCGAAAGAACCGGCTGGCGGCTGCACACGTGGTAGCAACCTGGATGGCAAAAGAAAAGACATCTCATGCATCCCACCAAACTGGGCCTCCGACCCAGCGGCCCTCGCGGCCGACCAGCCAACGACGATGTACCTATCAGTTCGCGAGCAAAAAAGCACCCCAGATTTCAGAATCAGCTCATCCTCCCAGAGCATGGCGTACCCCGAAACCTCGTCCAGCATATTTCTTTCTTGCTCGACTTTCACCATGCTCTTCGCTGGAGTCACTTGTCATCGATACCCTCTGCTCTCGCTACTGTATTTTGCATCTGCCATCCCATCGCTGCCCACCTGCCTCTACGGCATATGACGTCCAACTTTTAGTTGTCGCCCGAACGCGGTACCTGACTTGGGCACCCGGCAGTGCCTGGCAACACTTGTACCCTTCCGAGCATCTCATCCCAGGTCTGAACTCTCTGCCGGCTGCTGCCGAACAAAGGGCCAAGGCATTATTGCCCTGGCATGTTTCAACCTTCAACCCCCATCCGCATCCAACCTGTTCCTATTCTTGTCCTTGACCCCCCATTTCCAGCAGTGGTGCCCAGCAATCCAGGCACCGGCAGGTATCTTTTCCGATAATAATGGTCTTCCGTGCCCCATATCATAGCTGTCCCTTAGCTACCTCCTGTAAGTCCCCAAAGAGTCTCTGTTATGGCCGACAGTCTGGGTATTCAAATCCAGCACTTGATATGATGCACGTACCCATTGGAATTGACTCCAGGTGCTATCTAATAATATTCAGGCAACAACGGCAATGCATCTCATCCAGAGGAGCATGAGCTTCACTTCCTTGCGCAGGTAGACCGCGACGACGTCATTCGCCGACACCGGGTCTTATGTAATCACCATCCTTCATCTACAACTGCCCAGCCAATCAGATACGACCCGTGTTGTGCCTCGGATGCTGCTCGGGACAGCTACCGGCGGGGAAGACGCCCCGTGCCCGCAGTTCGAGAGCGTACTCTCACCGTGATGGCGATCCGATTCTCTTTCAACCCACCATGAGGAAGAGTCAATCGATCAGCAGTAGTCAGTATGTATCGTAACGCTTTGAGGACATGCGCAACACGACGCGCCGCAACGCGCACCTTGCCCGCCGCGAGAACCTTCGCCTCCGCCTCCGAAGGCCCGGCCTTCAACTGGGAGGATCCCTTGAACACAAAGAACCTCTTGACCGAGGAGGAGCTCGCCATTTCCGAGACTGCTGAGCGCTACTGCCAGGAGCGCATGCTGCCGCGTGTGCTTCGTATGTTTTTGTTCCCGATCAAGGGAATGACTAGCACTGACCGTTTTCCGCAGAGGCCTACCGCGACGAGCAATACGACCAGAAGATCCTCGAGGAGATGGGCGACCTAGGGCTTCTCGGAGCAACGATTGAGGGATATGGCTGCGCAGGTGTCTCTACCGTTGCCGGCGGACTCATCACAAAGGCCGTTGAGAGAGTCGACAGCGGCTACCGCTCTGGCATGTCCGTCCAGTCGTCGCTTGTCATGGGTGGCATTGCGGAGTTCGGTACGGAGGAACAGAAGGAGAGATTCCTACCCAAGATGGCTACGGGAAAGCTGCTCGGCGCCTTTGGCTTGACAGAGCCCAACCACGGAAGCGACCCCGGCTCCATGGAAACTACGGCCAAGCCTCACCCGACCAAGGAAGGCTACTACTCTCTTTCCGGTGCCAAGACGTGGATCACAAACTCTCCCATTGCTGACGTATTGATGGTCTGGGCGAAGCTGCAGGAGACGGGCAAGATCAGAGGGTTCCTGGTTGAACGCTCTCAGTGCCCTCCTGGTACCCTCGAGACGCCGCCCATCAAGAATAAAAACGGACTGCGAGCTTCCATCACGGGTATGATCCAGCTCGACGACGTCCCCGTCCCCAAGGAGAACATGTTCCCCTTGGTCGAAGGACTGCGGGGCCCCTTCTCATGTCTCAACAGTGCAAGATACGGCATTTCTCTCGGCGTCATTGGCGCCCTCGAGGATTGCATCGCTCGTGCCAGGACGTACGCGCTCGAACGGAAGCAGTTCAAGGGCAATCCCATCGCAAAATACCAGCTCGTCCAGAAAAAGCTGGCCGATGCGGCGACGGATGCGGCGTACGGCACCGTTGCCGCTATCCAGGTCGGCAGGCTCAAGGACGAGGGCAAGGTGACGCCTGAGATGATCAGCATGGTCAAGCGCCAGAACTGTGATCGGGCGCTGCAGAATGCTCGCGTGCTGCAGGAGATCTTTGGCGGCAATGCTGTCAGTGACGAGTATGGTATTGGCCGTCACGTTGCCAATCTTTTCGTGACGCAGACGTATGAGGGACAGAGCGACATTCATAGTAAGTTATTCCCAAGGCTGAGTGCTTCCAGTACCTGCGTTGCTAACATTAGCAATAGGTCTCATCCTCGGTCGTGCCATCACTGGTATTCAAGCATTTGTGTAATATTGTGAGATGTGAAAATACGGCCTTGTATATTACCATAACGCCGGGGAACGGATACGGTGGATCAAAACATACAAGCCTCGAATGAGAAACCTGCGAGTAAAATGTTGATTCTGCTTCAGCCTCTCTCACGGTAGTCCATGATGCTCAAGTGCTGCCACATTGTGGCCATCAGCCTTGCGTTCGAAGAATGCTGCTCTTAGAGGTGAGGTGAGATGATGCACTGATACATTTGATGGCCCTCATGAATATGGTCTCACCCGTCTCAAAGTCTGTCAAATTCATCGTAGGCAACCTGAGCCTTCCCAGCCCCGAAATTTCCGGCGAACTGGCGGGGGAGCTGATCCTTTGCGGGACTAGTAGCCTGTAGGACTAGTAGGACTCAAAAGTGCGCCCCAGCGTCCTCACAGCCTCAAATGACGGCGTGTTCATTGCAAAGCAATGTCTTTATATATACTTCATTCTAGAGTCGGCTTTGTTCAATCAACTATCTATCCCAGGAAGAAGCAACCCACCAACCTCGATAACTACCCAGCTTCCCGTTTCCTCAGACACCCTTTGCCCATTCAACGTTCCGCCACCAAACTTACAGTGCGGGACCCACGGATAGAAGAACAACGAAAAAGTCTTCAAGCAGTACCGTCAGCGTTTTGGACTTCTTTGGCCTCCCCAGCGGAAGGGCTCCCCTTCATCTACGCAGTGCGCTCGCGCGCTAGCACGACAGAGAAAACCCGAAGGCAGAGCAATGACATCTCAACCTGGGCCGGACGCCTCAACCGAGTCAATCGACTGGGCCCAGCGATGTCGACTAAGAATATGCCTTGGCGTCCTCTCCGGCGAGATCTCTGCTTCAGCGGGGACGGTGCTGTCCTGCGGGTGTCCGAATCCGCTGGTGACGAGGGATCTCAGCACGTTGGGGTGGGGCGTTTTCATCGGTGACGATTTGAGGGGCCGAGATGAGAGGAGGAGGTTTGCGGATCAATTCTTGGAGTGGTGGGGAGATTTAATAGGGATGTTGGGGGATGATGGGAGGACGGGACGAACGTGGGATTCTGGGGTTTTGTGAGGGCGTGGTTTGGTGAGGAGTTATTGCGTTTGGGGCGACTATGTTTTCTTGGACTAGGGTACTGGCTATCTGGATGGTATACCACTCATGTTTGACTACGTTTGTTTTATGAAGGAGGTCACTCTAGAAGTCGAAGAAGTTGATAGTGGTTGACCTCGGTTGAGAATCATGGCGTGGCGGTTTTGACAACTCCTACAGCCTACCTCTCCTAGCCTCGTAGGTTTTTCCTACACCTCTGGAATAAGCTATATTGCACACATTCTTCAAGTTTCAGTATCGAAATAACGTGATGTAATGGATTTAACAAAGTGAGATGTGGTTAAGATCTTGATGCAGCTTGTATTAATAGACAAATAGTTCATAGTTGAAATGAGCACTTGGCTATCCATATCATCGCGCAACACCAGCTCCGGATACTCAAAACGGTACAAATTGTGTATGAGAGGAATAAGAAACCGCATCCGGGGTTCAGTACCCATAGCTTCTGATCTTAGTGTGTCCGGAGAAACGAATGACTTGCCAGTTGGACGTTTCTACCAATCTAAGCATCATCACCTTGACCGAGGCTTATCAGGTTCTACTCAAGCTTGTAGGCGTCGAACTTGGTCGGGATCTCATCCGAGGTTCCGCCGTTCTCCCAGATAGAAATACTGTTGGTAAGAAGGAGGTCAGCAAAAGTGACGACTAAAGGGGGAGGAAGGGTTGGTTTCTGGAGTATGCGAAGGGTTATTATAGCTTACTAGAAGAAAGGAACCCAACATTAGCATACATCAACTCTGGAAATTACAGGAATTCGGATACATGGTAGGTGTGCTCACCAGTTCAGTGTAAAGAGTATCGTCAAGACCAGTCAAATTCAACTTGGGCCCGTTTTCAAAAACCATCAAGTCGCCCCTCGCAACAGAGGAGCAACCCACAGTGGCGGCGCAGGTAGCCTCGGCGTCACCAGAGCGCTTCTTGGAGACGAACCCGTAGTTTCCGCCAGAGTAGTTGCTGCCGCCGCAGCAGATATTCTCCCGGCCGTTGGACTGCGTGACGTACTTGAGGTTCTTGCAGTCGCCCCCGCTGTGGGCGCGGCCGACAATATTCCAGTTGGTCGGGATGGCGCGGAAGCCGATGCTGCGGAAGACGTCGCCCGAGGCGCGGATGCAGCAATCGTTCGGGTTCACGTTTGTGCAGACAATGTAGTCGCCGCGGCTGCACTTTTCGTTGCTACGGTAGCCGTATACGTCAATGGCGGAGACGGTGGCGATGAGGCTGAGGAAGATTTGGGAGAGGTTCATTGTGAATAGCGGGGAGTTCTCGACTAGTGGAAGTTCTAGAATGGGGATGATGATCTGAAGAGTGGAATGGATGAGTTGATATGATGTTGATAGAAAAGAAATGAGAGCTTTGAAGGGAACTTGAGCAATCCTTTATACTTTCTTAATCTTCTAGACGTACCTATGATTTTTGATGAAGAGTCCATGCCAACTTGAAGGTCCACAGCTATCATCTCTGTCACCCTGTGGATCTCTTCGCCCGTTGCCAAAATCAACTCGCACCAGCTTATCGAAGACCATAACTCTCTAGCCTCTGAGTAGGAAGGTAACAAAAGTTCATCAATATCATGGGTCAACGCTGTTGTGGATCAATCCCCTGTGTTGCGATATACTTACTAGATTAGAACATGACCGATCGCCTCTTCGCAACTCTTTGCAATACTTTTGTTGACCGAGAATGCACTTTGATTAATGGACGCGCATTGCCACGTCCGGAGCCGAGCTATGGTTGCTATGATTGGATGTTAAACCAAGCCACAAAGGTTCATCTCCATGGGTCGAGTCAAAACTCTAAACAAGGTAAGCAAGCTGGACCGGCCCGTCCCCCATACGGGCCAATCAATTCACTTTCGGAGCCAACACAGCTTCGGGAGGTAAGCTTACGTGCATGAGAGCCAGACTTCAACTGTTCAACACCCCCGCTTGTATCAAAAACCGGAATCGGCTAACACTGCCCTATGCGCAAGGGACTGTTTTCCCTATTTCAGATGCCAATTTCACCCCTTACGACTCAGGAAATGTCGATTTTGTATGTCCATCTCCTTACGTGACATGCTGTGGTCTTGCACAGAACTGAGCTGACTATGCAACTACGTAGTGTCTCTGACATTAGAAACAAGGCAATGGCATTGTGTATAACGTTGTCGAATAATATAACTCTACCTTATTGCACCACCTGGTACTCATGAGGTGACATGTCAGCTGAGGCGCCTTGCAAGGCGCTGATTTCGGCTCACTACCGTTGATCCTCAGCGTAACATCGTCTCGACATGATTGTTCCTCATATCGAGCGTAGCGTCACAAAACTAGACCGGAAGATTGTTCACGTCGAATGAAGCTGACGCAGGATTTCAACTGCGGATCACAAAAAGCTTCGTGAACCCGGATCTGTGCCACTACAATGCTTGGGGGAGGATTGGAGTCGCTGATTCTCATTCGTGATAGACGCGTCTCTTCCGGCGTGGGGCACAGCTACTGACGAAATAGGCATAAATCTCATAGCCTTATGTCACATTGAGTTATGATGGAAGCTCCCCGGCGGATTCATCGACTTATGTTACTACTTCAGGCCCTTGGAACACATGAAGGTTCTCACAGAGAGTTACTATGAAGCAAGTCGTTGTGTGCTGAATCCTAGACAGCTATATGCTATCTCACATTGAACCAGATAGGTTTCTTCGGACAGAGCTACACAAAAACCATTTATCAAGGTTTTTGGGGTTAAAAGTTCTATCGTAAGTTGTAACTTGCAGACTACCTTAAGTAACAGGTTATCATAGGACATGTACGGCGTTAACTGCTGCCCGCAATAAACGGCGTCATTTTCGCGGCACAGGCAAATTGGCTTTTTGAGATGAGATCAAAATCCAACCGCAGTATTCACTCTAGTCTTCTTGCCGAATGTATTTCTCATCATCCAGCATACTCTGCAGGTTCAGATTGGGGGTGCCTCTCTTCGATTCTTCCCTAGGGAACGGGGCTCGAAGGAAGAGGAATCCAGTCAAGACGAATAAGGACACCGAAGAATTCCACAATAAAGGGGTGGTCGAAGGCGGGGATGAGGTATACGACGAGGGGAACATGAGCAATGATGAATCTGCTTGCTGATATTTGAGTAGCTGTGGACGCAGCTAAGAACGGCCCGCGGGTCGCGGATGTAGCAGCCAGGGTGGCAAATTTGGGACTGCTCCATTTCGGCTTATCCTACCCAGTGAGTCTGGGGTGCACATTGACTACCTATTGGGCGTCATCCGGCACTTGGGGGGATACGAGGAAAACCGACTCCATCTCCTGGCCTACCACACGGTTCCACAATGCGCTGTCTCTCAGCATCTTCTCCACCCTTGCAATGTTCTCTTCCTTGTTTCCATTATTGTCGATCTGAGATCGTGTCAGAGGGATTTCATTTGTGAACGCAGAGAAGAGCGGTAAGGCTTACGTCGACGAGCAATCCTGCTTCCCGATACTGTTGTTCCACAGGCGGTCCCTCCTCCAAGTACTCAGCGAACCGTTTCGTGAACTTCTCCGCGCTATCGTTGCGATCGCGGCCTCGTGCTAGATATCTCGCTTCCGCGTTCTCTTTGGTCACATTGAGTGACAAGACGATATCGGGTTTCGCGTTACCCTCCTGCTTACATTATTAACCGGCTGAAGCATGCATACATGTATTCCATGGCCCGCCTCAACATACCAAAGGAAGGCGCTCTTGAAAGGGCCACTGTGCCCACGAGATGAGCTGCTCCTCACACCTCGGGAAACCGTCGATCAATATCCCGTTCAAATCGTCTTGCCGGATTGCATTCTCGATTGCAATGCGTAGGAATGGGTTCAACTCCGTAGACGTAAGAAATCCTTGGTGGTCCAGCTTGTCTTGGATCGTAGCCGCGAGAGGCGTTTCGCGATTCAATTCATCCTTCATCCAGGTTCGCAGATTGTCTCCCACTGAGAAATGCAACAGGCCGTGTTTGCGGGCCAGATAATTGCAGATCGTGCCTTTGCCCGAGCCGGGAGCTCCTTTCAAAATAGTGAGCAGGCTTGCATTATACCTATTGAATGGGACCGATAGTGAGACGGACCAAGGATGAAGATGACTGCGAACTTTCGTTTCTGCGGAGCAACGTTATTGTCCATGACGAACTGGTGATGGCTGGTGTGCTGTTTGCCTGTAGGCTGTGACCGGTGGTGCGTTGGCGGGTCGAGCAACGTTGGATGGAAGGAGAGGTGCAGCACGCTCATCCCATGTCGCGATTGGACGGCCTACGAGGGGGGTCTCGTTATATAAGCAATCATGTTATTGGCATATGAGGGGTCAATTATTAAGTCCTTCGTGTTTATTGGGAAGGCTGGAACTCTGACACCCGACGTCACCCAAGTTGGGCTTCACTTACGATTTATTTCTGAAGCTTATTCTTCTGTTCATGGTCGATCTCTGACGAGCAACACATAGCAACAACAAAGCGTACACTAATGTGTAACTCAGCAGAATGGGAATCTTAACCATAACCTCCCAAGCGGCGCTGGCCGCCTTTTCAGCGATACCCCCCTTCGTCTGGGTCGTGGGTGTTGCGGTGCTAGCAGCAACATACTTCTCGCTCCGCCGCCACGCCGAGGAACCCCGCCATCACGCCCCAAAGGCAGAAGCTGTCCAAGACTCCAAATCGAAGCCTCCAGTTGATGACCCGGACGCCCCTGTCTCTGTCAACTACTTCCCATCCCGCGAATGCAACTATGCCTGCGGTTTCTGCTTCCACACCAATACCTCAGGCTACATCCTTCCACTGGATGAAGCGAAGCACGGTATGCGTCTTCTGAAGGACGCCGGCATGCGCAAGCTCAACGTTGCCGGCGGAGAGCCCTTCCTGCACCCAAAGTTCTTGGGTGAGCTGCTCCGGTACTGCAAAGATGTCCTGGACCTCGAGAGCATAAGCATCGTCAGCAACGGGAGCAAAATCCAGGAGAAGTGGCTCCGTGAATACGGTCGCTACTTGGATATCCTGGCAATCTCCTGTGACTCGTTCGTCCGCGAGACGAATAAGGAGATCGGCCGCGGTGAGAACGGCGGAGCGGACGGGGAAAAAGACCACATTGCGCAGGTGTTCCGCATCGCCGAGTGGTGCAAAGAATACAACATCATGTTCAAGCTCAACACCGTCGTCAACGTCTACAACTGGAACGAAGACATGGCCGAGACGATTGCGCAGTTGGCGCCGTTCCGGTGGAAGGTGTTCCAGTGCTTGATTGTCGAGGGCGAGAACGAGAACGACACGCGGGTGCGCGACGCGAGGAAGTTCCTCATCTCGGAGGAACAATGGCAGACGTTTTGCGAAAGGCATAAGCACCTGCCATGTTACGTGCCCGAGGACAATCAGACCATGGCTGGTAGCTATTTGTTATTGGACGAGCACTTGCGCTTCCTCGATAAAGGCAATGGTCCGATGAAGAAGAGCGAGTCCTTGCTTGATGTTGGGGTGAAGAAGGCCATGCAGCAGGTGGCGTGGGATAAGAGCGCGTTTGATAAGAGAGGTGGTGTCTACGAATGGCGGAAGTCACAGGTTGAAAGCACCGAAGGGGGTTGTAATGGCGATAGCAAAAAGGAGTTGGAGTGGTAGGTCAAAGGCGTTGTGTTTGTTTTTGGTGGCAAGGGCTTCAAGCACGAGCAGCTGAAAGCTGGTCATACGGCAGCCCATCACCCAAAACCTACGCAGATTGCAAACTCGAGGCTACGGAGAAAGGGAGGTTGATATTTAGGTAAACAAGACTTCATCCTGGCCACTTAATCCGATGTAGAAAGACACTTGTTCACACCCGGGGGCTGCGAACGCATTCTGGACACTAGCGTTCAAACGCTGTTGCTCGTTGCTGCCCTCATTAAGCCCTGACCCCTATTCTGATTTCGTGCCACATTATATTTCTCTTTGCATTGGTTCTTCTCATCAGATTGTCGTAGTCTTTCCACGCATGGATAGTGATCTTGTTCTGCCCAGCAGATTTTAGCCAGTATGCCACTTTATCAAATTGACACACAGCGCATGAAAACATTCGAAGAAAAAAAAAATAGGGGCTGAGTTCCTCCCTGTAGCTTCTGCTCAGAATAACCGAGAGTGAAGTTTTGGGAGACCGGAGACATTCCACGCCTTACCTACTGATTGAGTAGCCGAACATCTCCGGTTGCCAACCTTGTCCTGCCGAAAATACCCTAATCTTAGTCGTCAGCAAAAGTTCCAAGAAGCGCTTGGCAGACAAAGTTTAGAAACTGCAAAGAATGAGTTGCACCCCATAGCATTATACAAAGTCTGTTGAGAAGGGCCAATGTCGCAACTGTGCCTATCGCACGCTTGCCAAATCGGGTTAGCCAGGACAAATACTGGAGTTCAAAACCGTACGATTTAGTTTAGAAGGTTTTGAGAAGTTGATGACTGATAAGATCATGTTCCCCCGGAAAGATAATTGTGTGGGTTTGAACCTTGGTAAATATACGGTGTCAGTCTTGACTCAGATTCATTATGGTAAGGTCACTTTGTATATAAGCCCAGGCTAATGGCACCTGAATCTGTCATTGATATATACCTCTACTCATAAATGAGGCTTCAAGATCCAATTTGACAGACCCATTCCATTCCAAAGCGACTTCAACCATGCATGTCCTCTTCCACCTCTCGCTCCTTCTTGGTGCCACATCTGTGGTCTCCGCAGGCTGCTTGTCGTGTCCCCTCTTCAGGTACATCAACCACAAGCCCAATAGGACCCCACCCCCCCCGGAGCTGGATATCGATACCCTCAAGAGATGATGCTAACCTCTGAAAAGCGGAAGATGCGTAGATAGCAGTGGAAAAATCTGCAAGAAGGGCGTGGTCAAATTCCAATGGGTCCTTGTCCAGAACTATTGCTGCCGTGATGCTGGCTATGAAACTGTCAAGTGCTGGAGCTCTTGCTAGAGAATGCAGTTTCTTGCAAGTTGTTGCAAGTTTCATGAGACAACCGATATGAGATTCTTGCTCCAGTCGTGTTGATGCTTCTAATAGTGCCCTCTCAAGCAAGACAGCCTCGTTCGTTCCAATCTCGAATTTGGCGAAAAGAGTCTATTCTTTGACCAGGAGCACGGTATATGAGAAGCTTTTGCGCGACCAACATTTCCATTTCGAGGCTTCTGGTTTCCAATATTCTACACAGGTAGAATCGAATCGCAAGGCCAAAGGTCAAGGAACTGATAGGAATGGAGAGGGGCTCATAATCGAGCTCTTCATTTGAATTAATTGGCGACGGTACTGAAGCCTTTACTAGAGCATTCGATACCTCGAGCATGGGCTATCTACACACGCATGCATAAAAGTAGACGAGATCTGTGATAGAGTGGTGAATGAAATATCTGTCAGCTGTCTGAACCGTGAGTTCTTGGTCTTGCTTCCCTGAAGGTTTTTTTTTTTTTTGTTTTCTTCTTCTTTGGGCATTTTGATGTTCCCTTCTACCAACGGAAGCAACTTACAGACTTTCCATTTATCATCAAGTTGCCATTCGCTTTAGCGCGACTTTCTGCTTGGGCCTTGCCTTCGTTCCGACGACATTGCAAGGTTGAGTTTGGTTCGAATTTCCCACTCGTACCCAATTGAGCGTGATACTGACCGTAGCGAAAATGAATGAAAGAGTACGTTCTATGAGAGATTACAACGCAAATTGTAAAGTTTCATGTATTCAGCTATGATTTGGTAAAGATTATGATTGTATTAGAATCCTACTACAGGCTTGTTGCTTTCAATCCCAAATCCAGTTGTTTTATGAAGAACAAGCACGATCGCAGTTACCGGTTGTGGCGCTGGAGTCCCACAGATCACTTTGGTGCCTTGATGTCCAAATTGAGATACCCCTTTGACCAATACCCAGCGCGATCTTGGGTCACGGGGCTGCTGTAGCTACATCGAGACGATGGACACCCCGTTTCCCACCTTCCAGCTTGTTTGTGACTGAGGAGATAACCCAAGGTCCTTGTGTGGATTAGAAACCCAGACTTCAGCGATCAAAGGCAAATACATAACCACCCTCCTAACTGATTTCCCCACCGCACTTCTCGCAGAGCACACACATTGCTAGGCAATTGTCAATACTCGTAATGACAGCAAGGAGTCGAGTCGGAAGACGAGCGGTGACAACCAGTATACGCGGACGGTACTAATAGCAAAAGCGTAGAGCTCCTGCTCTGCATAGCCTACACTACAGCTGACGCCTCCACCGAGGTGGTTAATACGCATAAATTTTTTGTCGACGACCTCAAGCTTCAGCAGCACTTGGCAGCTCCTCTCACGATCACTCTCTACTCCATATATAAGGGTCCCAAAGACCGCCCTGATCTACAAAAAGCAAGCAATGCCCTTCTGCATCAACATTAAGCCCCCATCTGACCGCCAGAAGGGCAGATTTCCATCAAGCCAGTGAATCAGCCACCCGGCAATGATATTATATCGCCCGTTTGGCTCTGAAATGAAATTTGATGTAGGAATACGAAGTGTAGCAGGTGCCGATGTATACTGGCTTGTGACATACCTCTTGGGGCAACTTGATACTAGGCTCTCAAGTCACCGGAAGCCCCAGAAAAGCGGCATCACAATGGTTTAAACGATGCCCAGCGCTCATTCGAGCCCGGAGTAAATCTGAAGTCCTTCAAAAAGAGGTCTATTTCTGCTTCATCACAGCCACGTAAACTATACACAAACGGGATCATCTATCCTCGATACTCGTACATCCCGATAACGCCAAGCAATGATATGTCATACCCTCCAGCCTCGCGGCCAGTCCCATCCCACAGCTTCTTCTCGCTTCTTCTCCCTTCTCACTCGGTTCATCTAGTCTCTCCCCTTCGGCAGGACATCCCAATCAAGAGTTCCGTCTCTCATGATCCATCCCAACCATTTCATACCCGCCTTCCCCATCCCTCCCCCTCCCACGTCCCCGTCCCCTCGAAAGCCCAAGTCCATCCTCCTCATCTCCAGCACCGCCATTCTGCGCCGCCCCGTCACCGCTGCTCCCAGCACCGGCGCCGTTATTCCCGCCGCCACCGCCACCTCCTCCGCCACCGAATGATATCGGCCTCAACTCGCGGTATCTAGACCCCCAAACCGCCAAGGCGACACATATGCCCGAGCTGGCTGTCATGGCGCCCCACCACATTGCGTTACGCGGTATGCGGCCCGTATACAGGCTCGTGACGACGAGATGCAGACCGTGCATCGTGAGCGCGAAGTCGGGTACGAGTTTCGAGCGGCCGATGAGGACGATGATCGCGACGGCCCTGTTGTCGTCTATGTTAGCGCTAATCCTGAAGCTCTCTCCCTCCCAAACTCTCGTTGATCCTGATATCCCAAGCTTTCAAGCTCCGGGAACCAACCCACACCACCAACCGCCAGTCCCCCCAAACTCAAGTCCTCCAAAATGAAAACCTCCAGGAAAAGACGAGAGGAGGAGAAAGAAAACTTACATGCAAAGACCCCCATCAAGAATCCACAAGAAAGCCCCCAACCACCCCTGCGTCGTATCCCCCCGAACGGCCTCCCACCCAAAAACGAGGTCCAATGTGAATCCCGTGCCGGCGACGAGCGCGGAAAAGAGCATCAGCACCAGCGCGGCGGCGTAGTACAGCCCTTGCAGCGCCGCAATCTGCGAGGCGATGCGCAAGGGGGGCAGGTCGTTGAGGGCGCCTGGCCGGGGCGGCTTGCGACGGCGGGGCATCGTGGGTTGAGATCAACTTTGAGGTTGAGGTTGTTTCGGGGTTGGCTTCGGTTTCCGGGACGTCTGGGGTAGATTTCGTGAGGGTATGTATAGTGGTACGGACGGAGGGAAACGCAATATGGTTTCTGTTTACGATGTCGCCCCTTTGAAAGAGAGAGAAGAGTTGTCGAGGTGTTGTTGCGGAGGACGGTCGCGCGTCTCTTGCCTTCGAATCTCGCTACCGGCGGAGCATTATCGAGCTTCGTTGTAGTTCGCAATCATCTAATCCACCCCCTTGTCGTAATCCCTCTCTCTCCCTCTTCCTCTTGCAGCAAATTTCCGCGTTGGCTAAGAAAACCTTGTTTTGCAGTTGGAAATTGGGAATCAAACCCGGAGAGATTGCGCAACAGGTATCGTCGTTTCCGGTATCGTCCGTTTCGTTCTTCTTCGTCAGCGTAGTTTGTTTCGTCCAAGCTGTCACGTTCGAGGTGCCACGAGGGAAGCAGCGGGATGTTGACAGTTTTGGTGGCTGGAGTCAGCTGTGGTTTGCGCCACACTTTTGGCGGTGCATGCCTAGAAGCGCAACGGCCAGGCGTGCCTGGGCAACTTGCAATCGGCACCCGTCGCGCTAAGCACCGATGAGGCAAGGCTAATTTTGGAGCTGGCCCCGGGTGAATGCTTACGCTAGTACATCATTGGCTCACCGCCCGCCATTCTGCCGGCCCAGCAATTCGAACTTCGCGGCGTCGCTCAAAGAGAGATCTACAGAAATCGTCATCCACGAATCGAGACTTCACCTAAACGGCACCACCCCTCCATCTCACACACCAACCCAACCCGACTAATGACACAAGCCCACCTTCCGAATCCTTCAATCCACCGCTAGAGTTTCCATCACCAGCCAAACATCTCTTCAATCTCCTCCCGCCCCTCCCGACAGCAGCGACACGCCACATCCAAACACCCACAAGCAAGACCAGAACCCTCGTCCAAAATGGGCCTGTTCTCCTCCTTCCAATCCGAAGAAGCAAAGCGCGCCGAAGAAGTCCGCACAGGCGCCGTCGCCCCGGACCGGAGCGAGCGCCGCAAGTGCTGGGAGGCCCGCGACGCCTACTTTGGCTGCCTCGACCGCAACATCATCGCCGACGCCCTCAAGGATGACGCAAAGGCCCGCAAGGTGTGCCCCGCCGAGAACCAGGTGTTTGAGCGCGATTGCGCCGCTGCTTGGGTGAGTAGACTTTTTGCTTTCTTTGGCTACCCAGGCTCTTCCATCGTCCTCCCTCACGTAATCGCTATTCGAGGCCATGGGATCATGCGTGTAGCTTCTCTGCCAACGCTCTACGGCGCCGTGGACCTCTGAATCAACAAAACGAGAAGAAAAAAAAACCTTCCCAACATGAACAATCCAGACTGACGCATCGGACCCCTTCCTCCTTACAGGTAAAATACTTCAAGCAATGGCGCGTAGCAGACCTCCAAAAGAAGCAGCGCATAGCCCAGCTCGAAGCCGAAAACGCAATCAAGATGGACGTCACTACTACATTCGCCGACCAACCTTCCTCCTCTCCCAAGGGCCCCGCGCCGAGTAAGGTTGATTTGCAGGATATGCTCGCCTCAAGGAGGCAGTAAGGGAACAAACAACAAATTCAACATATTCCTCCCCCCCTTCCATTCAATCCAACGACTTTGAATGGACGCTTTGCCTTCAGCTTCGTCCTCCAGCCCTGTCGTCGACGACGGCGAACACCGATAACTGTAAATGGCCATTTTGATACCAGAAAACCTCCCTTTTCTCCAGCCACCATCTGCTGGGTGTACAACAACTGTTTTTAAATACTTCTCTCTCCCCGGGGGTTCGGCGGTGTAAAAGATGGAAACATTTGTAGAATAATGTAAATCACAATGTCAGGAATCCTAAATCTGCCCTCATTCCCCAAAACTATCAAGCTTCTGCTTCAATGTCGGGGTTCGCATCCATTGGGATACCTTCAACGGCACCTGAATTGACTTCAACTAGTTTTGAGACTGGACTCTTCTATTTGTGCTACCTAGACGAACCAACCCCCATTATGGGAAGGAAAGCGCCCTCTGAATATCGCTATAAAGGTTTTTCCTCCAATTCCATCCCGACTCCTACTCTTTTTCCCTCCTTTGCCTTATTCCCAGCAGGTTTGGTCATCACCTGGAAAACAATCATTTTTACGTGATGACCTTTATGTATGAGACTTTCTGTATCGGCGGAAACACAAAAACCAAAAAATAAAAGTGGTTGACTAAGAAAACCTCAAGGGAAAAGTGGGAGAAGAATCAAAAAGTTGAAAAAAAAAGAAGCATGCTCAATGCAATGGTGGTATCATCCATGAGAGAAAACACTAGTAAAAAGCTCTGTGGCTCGTCTCGGCTCTCTGTTGCCTCGGTCGCTGTGAGACCTCGCTGAACGAGCTTGCAGAATTCGTCATTGACCCCGTTGATGCAATTGTGGTTTGTCGAAACCCTTCCCCCTTCTCTCTTCTGCAGCTGCTGCTTCATCCTCCCTTCTCTTCCTGGCTCGTCTCGTCCCCTATATCGCGACTGCTCACACTCGTACTCCCAACAATACGGATCCGCGTGCTCTTGTTCACAAAAGACGGCTTGCGCCCTAGGCAAGGCCCATGCGGAAAGCGCTCTGCTCGCCTGCCTCCTTAGGGAGCGGCGGCAAGGCTTTATCGAGCGAGTCCTTGCTGAGGCGAGGCTTGATGTGGAGCGAGTCTTCTCTGCTCATCGTGGATCCGTTTCCATTGGGCAGCGCCCCATAGCCGCTGTCTTGGCTTTCGGGCTTGAGATGATGGCCCTTGGGCGGCGTTGGCGGCGCGTAATCTCTCAGTCCGGGGAATCGGCTCTCCATCCCGGGCTTCGCTGGTGTAGCAGGCCGATAGTCGTCTCCATCCCTGCTTGCCCCGTCTCTGCTTCGGCCCCCTAGTGATGAAGCCTCCCCTGCCTCTTCGACTACGGGCAAGATAGGAGCCCCTCCCCCACCAGATTCTCGCCGTTCGTTCATCTTGGTTGTCGAGAGGACGACGTCCGGAACGTTGAGCTCGGAGGCCCCGTGCCTCTCGGACCTTCGGGCATCTTGCTGGGCTCGCTCAATTGTTTCGCGCGCTTCCGGTGACATTGGAGCGCTGGGCGGAGTTGGTGGAGGTTGGTAGTTGGGCATCGGCGGGATGTTGTTCGTCGCCGACCTCCGGCGCATACTCGAGCTCCAGCTAGCAACGCGCTGTCTGTCCGCAACCGCAGCAGCCTCGATCTGTTCCTGGTCCCTCCGCTGCTTCTCCCTAATCGCCTCCTCGGGGGACATCGTGATACCCTCGACGAAGTTGTAGAATCGGTCGCCGTACAGTTCAGGGGGGAGAGCGGAAATCTTTGTCTTGTCGCTTGTCAACCCCTTCCAAAAGTGCTCAATCTTTTTGATCATTCCGTACTATTTAGACAATTAGCAGTCAGATGGAGAGTGTGGATAAGTAAGTATCTTACGTGAGTCAGGCAGTCGATGACACCCAGGTAGTAGATCTCGTCGGCGGGAGAATTATCCTCGTGGGTCGCCTGGAATCCACCGTCGTCCTGGTTGAAGATGTACCCCGACCTATTGTGTGCCTCATCAAGCTCATCTGGCATTTGAGCTGCCGTCTGGCCCATGGGCACTGGCCGTTCGTGTCTAATCATGTTCCTCAGCTCCCGCGCCTTACGAGCATTCTCCAACTTGGAAGGTGTTCGCAAGAGAACCGACGGCGGTTCGCCGTCCTCTTGCTCTCCACCAGGGTTGAAGACCTGCAGTGTTTTTCCGCGAAGATTTTCCTCGTTGCCTCGCTGCAAGTCGTGGATACCAATCAACAGAGAGTAGTCCATGATTTTGAGCTTCTTCATCAACACCACGTCCTTTTGCAGCTGCTCCAGGAAGAGCTTCTTCTTCTGGATGCCAAGCTCGAGGTTTCGCTGTCTGCGCATCCAGTTCAGGTCCTTCAGCGTCGCCCGAGGGTTCTTGTCCAGGTCGTCTTCCTTATAGTCGCGGCCAATCGTAGATCCTTTCAAGTCGAACGTGGTGTGGATGTCCCGGTGAGGGGGGAAGAGGTTGTTCATCACCACAAAGTGTATCTTCTTTCCGTAAGGCATTTTAACTCGGTGGAGACCGTAGAATTGGGAGAGCAGCGTATTCGGGTTTTCAGTGACATGGTGGTAGTAGTCCTTGAGAACCTTGCGGAGGAACTTGTGTTCGCCGTGGTGGATTGTCTTGATGATGTACTTGTAGTCTCTGGAGAAGTAGAAGAAGCTGCCACTTTTCCCAGGGGAACCCAACTCGGACAAAATATACTTGCCCGTCAGAGACATGAGGTAGTCTGCGGGATCCAGGCGAAACAGGCCGCGCAGATGTCGGAATACCCAAGGCGCATAATCCTTAAATTTGAAATCGTACTTTGCCGAGGGCACCAACTCGTTTCCGGCACTGAATAAATTAGTAAACTTGGAAAGCACGTGGGTTACGCGGGACTTGACGTACATGTCGAACGTCGACTTCTGCTTCGCCTCAAAGTCAGCATCCGTAAGGGGCCGGTCAAGCTTTGCGTTCGTGCGGGACACTGAGACGCGGATGCCCGTCAACATGTTGTAGGCGGTAACCCAGTTCGTGTGATGTTCGTCGACCTTTGTGCCAACCAGTACCCGATCGTCATCCTCTTCTTCTTTCCTCTTCCTCTTACTGGCTCGCTTTTGTCGATAATGCTCGGCCCAGCGCAGGGCGTCTTCGTCGGGTAGTACTTCGTCACGCGGTACATCAGACTGCATGGAACGGGTATCTCTCCGCACCAGGTTCAGGGACGCCCTACGCACTCTTTGCGTGGTGCTTGTAGGAGAGAAGCGACCGCTGGAGAAGGCTGTGTCGGAGCCATCTTTGGAAGCGCGGTTGGATTGGGTCCCTGGAACTTCAAGCGTGTGGCGATGCTTCAACCCGCCGTTTGGGGGTTGCAGCCCGGTGGATGTTGATCCGTTGGGGGTAGCACTACCGGATTGATAGAGTGGTGGAGAGGAGAAGCGCTGCGGCGATGACGGTTGGTTTTGGGCGATGAGATCTGGGGACAGCGACGTGCTGCTGGCTGCTGGCACGGGTGTTGTATGACCGTTGGCGAGTTTGCCCTGGGAGGGTATTGCAGGAGGTGCGTAATTGGGACTGCTAGTCCCATTTGTTTTTATTGTATGATCGATGGATCCGGCCGCAGGCGATCCAATTGACGGTGGTGTGAGATAGTTGTCCGTCGGGCTCGATTGCTCCGTATCGGAAGATGGCTTCTTGATAATGGTGATGGGCGGCGGCGGAGCTGTCCGGTCGGGCATAGTGACGATGTGTCCATTTTGTAGCGGGTGCTTTTGATTCCTGTAATCATTGTACTGGTCGTGGTGAGAGTCGTGGTCGTGATAATCAAAATCTGCGCCTCCTCCGGCCCCTGCCGAGCCGTTGGGCAACGAGCTCATACTAGTCGGCCTCGTCCCATTCATCTGAGTGGGGATGGAATCAGAAACGTCCGAGGCGTGGGTTGATGAGGTTGAGCTTTCGTCGAAGCTATCATGGAGGTTGTTTGAGCGCGATGGGCGAAGGGGTAGGATGTGGGATAGCCCGTCAATCGGGTGCTTGTGGCCAGAAAGGTCAAGCGTGTTGTTTGGGTCGAGGTCCAAAAAGTCGGAATTTGGCGAGTACACGGGGGAGTTCTCGCGGGTGAGGTAGGTGGGCATGGTCGGTCGGCCGGGGTGCGAGACGTCGGGAGGTTGGACGTAGCTGGATGTGGGAGTGGATGTGACGGGGGGGTGTTAACGGCTACTGCTACTATTCTGAGCGATGTCGTTATTTTGTCTCTGCTTTCTCCTGGCCGTCTGTTGGGGGGTATCAGAGCAGGATGGAGATATTATCGACTCGTTGGATCGTTGTTTGTTGGACGGAGAAGGAGCAACAGCAGAGGCTGAGCGAAGCCTCAGCACATTATATCCCGATGGAAGAAAAAACAACGCAAAAGTCGAATCAATGCGGCCGTCGTTCGTATGGATCGTCGAGGTTTGGGGAAATCGTACTTTCGCTAGGCGTGCAATTGACGGGGGTTGGCGTTTTCGCAGTCGATGGCGAGGATCAACGAGTAGCAGAAGTAGAGGCCGGAAATGAGAGACGGCGGATCGCTCCTGACTGTGTCGTCGACGTCGTCTTTGTCTGGATGGAGGACTAGACGAGGAGAGCAGAAGAAGCGTCGGCGAAGACGTTGAGGGTTACGAGTCGAGACGGAGACGAAGACAGAGACGGGAGAGGATAACTCAATGGTTCGGGCATGTCTCGACGGCGAGGCGGCGCATGGTATGAGGGGGCGGGTGGTTCAGGCCGGTTGGTTGAAGAGAGGCAGTGGGAGAGAAAGCCGGGGAAGAGAGGTTTTGACGATGAAAGAGAGAGCGCGCAACTTGCAAGGTTACGGGTCCACGTCGGCGGAATAGACCACCTCAGTAAACGGGGTGACGGGCTGTGGTCACAGGTGAGGTGGGCGGGCCTCATCAGCCGGGAGGGAGACACTGGAGACAGGAACAGGCGGTTTGGTCCACTAAAGAGAAGCCACAAGGCCCCTGCTGGTACCTTACCGGCCGCGACACAGAACCACTGAGAGGCGCTGGAAGCCAGACGTGGACAGGACATGGAGTTCCCGTGGACTGGCAGTTCTTACACGCTGCCGCCCAGTGGAGTGCCCCGAAAGGTACGTACTCGTACGTTGAGCAACCTACATAGTACGGAAAACTACGTACAAAAAGCTGGATGTCCAGTTTGCAGAGAAAGAAAGTGGGAGGCGGGTGTACAAGAGTACGTATCCATGTTTGTTTGCCCTGTCGTCCACCCTCACACGCCTCCCAAGGTTCTTCAAGGTTGGTACCTGAGGCTGCAAGGCCTGGGTTCCTGAATGAGGGAGGAGACGGGACTTGGTGGATATGGTGGATATGTATACCCACACGCGTGATTGTGTGCAGAAGTACGTGCGGGTCTACAGCGCTAAGCAAATCGAGGATTACGGAGCTCTGAGTGGTCGACGGCGGGCTTCCCGTTGTGGACCCCACGGCCAAATGAGGCTTGGTTGCCCACTGGTCTCTGGGTCCTGCTGCTGGGGCTCGAAATGAGTCGGCGACCTCTCGCTTTTCGTTGTGTGCCTGGGGCCGTGGGCTGTTTCTTGCGCTCTGTCTCTGCCTCTCTGCCTCTCCCCCTCCATCTTCCTTTCTTTCTATAGGTGCTTTCTGTCTGAGTTGCACCAAAGTCGAGGCTAGACACACTTAGGTAATCGTCCGCCGCCAAATGTCACCTTCTCGCTCTTCCCGTCACGTTCACTGCTCACTGGTCAAGAACACCCATGGACAGAATTTGTCCCGCTGCCCAGCCCAGGCCCAAGACGTGCTCGACGCCGAGTTTCCGGCCAACTGGGTCAGATTCAGCGGCCAAGCCACGGCATCCAATCTCGACTCGTCAAGGGCCGTGGAAGACGTCTCGAAGGAGATCGGTACCCGCAGTCGGTGATGGCCTGTTCCTGAATGTGTCAAGGCAGCCAACTCCCGTAACCCGTCACCCTTGAGTTCGCTGCATCGTGGAGATGCTCTGGAGCCCGCCGCTTGCTAGTTCCCATGGGACATGAGGCGTCAAAATCATGGGATGGGAGACCCCGCGGTCCTTGCATACACGTACATAAGCGGTCCCCTTCCCTCCTTCTTCGCCGTACTATTCATAGCATCTGCTCTATCCATCCAGCCCGGCTGCCTGACGACCTCCTCCGTGGATACGTGGATACGCGGACCAGGTGACATCGGATCATCGACTGAGCCTCACTATGCATGCAGCTACATAACAATCGACCTGTCATCTCATCAATCCTTGGAAGTCTCCTTGGAAATCGGGACGCCTGAGTCCTCATAGCCTCATCTTCCTGTCTTTCCGTATCTCTTTTCTTCATCTCCTGTCTCCCACCATGTATCTCCTTTCTCGTCACTGCTAAAGTTGGTTTTTGCACTGGTCCACTTTGTGTCTTACAGCCACGCTCCTATTCATTATGTTCCTGCATATCTCTATGCCGCCGCAACTTCAGACACGCATTCGATAGCACTTCGTTAGGTGCTGATATTGTGCCCAGAAGGCGACATGCGTCTCACCTCCTCTTCCTACCCCTTACACGCTCCCATCCCTCTACCTAATCGAATCAAGTCACCCCGACATCTCAGGGGCCAACATCACCGAAACAAAGGGAGCCGCAATTGATCAAAAGCCCCTGGGCAGTCATACGCGTGACATGTTGCATACAGATACACTTGTCCAGAACCATTCATTCCCTCCCCTGGTCAACACCTTAATATCAACGACCTGCAAACACACCACCCCTCCCTTCCTCCTTCGTATCTCCGTAGTTAGGAACAGCAGCAAACCCCCTGCGCAGCTGGAAGACCCTCGTTATCCTCCTGCAGAGCGGGGTGCGCCAAACGTTGGGACATTGGATCCTTTTTCTCTACCCCAGTCAGCCCCCTTTTGATTGTCTCTCGTCTGTCGCAAAGCTACGGATCCTCTGGGGTCTTCTTTTCCCAAACAGACAACATTACGAGCAAGACGATGAGAATTGCCGGGATGGATCCGTCATCCATCTTCACATCTCTCGAAATAGTAAACTCACTCGAGAAACACTCTCCCTTTTACGACAGAGTTTCCAATAATTCAATATCACCACAACAACAAGCGGCCCGAAAAGCGTAAATCAAGTATCCATCTCCAACTAACCTAACACTACGAATACGGTTTGCTTGCCAAGTAGCCTTCATGGGCCTTAGGTTCACCTCATCACTGGAGTAGCGCCGCGGGGCGCGGGAATCAAAAAAACCCCGGGACCCGATCACGGTAAGCAGTTTATCGGGGTCATCTTTCGGCCCCTTGACTTGGGCTTCCCACTCTCATCCAAACACAGATACTGCGCCAACGGTCAGCGCCCCTCACTTCAGGGCTGACCTATAATAACTATCAAGCACCCTTCAGGGGCTGCCAAGGTGAGCGACAGGCCCGGCGAAGCCAGCCCAATCACCCATGGATCCGAAGGGGATACACACCTACGCCCACATTCAAGTTGGTTCCAAAGGCCTCGCGGCAATCCAGGTTTGTCTTCCGCGGCTGGTACCGCATCCCGAGGGCCGCGCCGGCCACTGACTCGACTCTATCAGAGCATCCCATCTCTATCAAAATATCTGTCCCATGGTGCCATCCGGGGCAAGCTCGTCTCCCAGCAGGAGAATGTTGCTAGAGACCCACGCCGTAGCGCTACCACTGTCATAATCCAGTGCTGCCAACCACCACATCACCTCGGTCTCCAACCATTTCAGCCAGGTCTTGCCGACCGCATTCTGCAAGACGGGTAGAACAATGCGCATGCCAAAGGATGCCAGCTCATCAAGCGCACAAGATGGTCCAAGGTCGCATCACACAGATCACAAATCACACTCGCACCACGCCCCCTCCAAACCTGACCGCCAATCCTCCAAGTGGCCCGGTTAAAGAAGCCAGCAAGCCAGCCCAAACCCGTCGATCCTTTCCAAGAACCAACGTGCCAACCAACTGTGACGTCGCGCCCGTCCTGACCGTTACAACCGCACTAAAAAATGCACAGTCCCTGATTTTCCCTGGATCGCCAGAACGTGGACGGTCTCCCGGGGCCTTTTACACTAGGCATCCAATGACCTCACGGCTCACCTTCTCATCGATTCATGAATCAGGTATTCCGTTTTTTGTGCATGTATCATTTAGGGTCCATCCTCTCACTCAGCACTCAGTGCCGTTGGTGAGATAATCACCAGACCTCTCGCATGCCACGTCCATCTGGTTCCGTCTCACGTGGGAACGCAACAATGGATTGCAGCAAACATTCTCGAAATCGTCCATCCACTCACCAACTCAAGCCTGAAGTCAGTGCCTTGCCTTAGGAACACTTTCCCCCAAGCGGCATGACGTGGAATAATGGAAGGGATGCCCTCACATCGAGCACCCACCACCCAATTTGTCACCAGATAGCTCCCCCCCCCCCCCCCCAACAATCCCCCCCCCCACATCTTTACCTTCCAAACCCCCCCCGGGGTCCCCGCGCCCGGGCCGGCCCCCCCCCCCCCCGCCCCCCCCCCCCCCCATCCGTCGCGCTGCTCTCCTCCTCCTCCCCCCCCCCCCCCCCCCAAAGAAGTCCCTTCCCTGACATTTTCACTTACAGAACCCGCTCCGGGTTGCCGCGCCTGGGATGAACCTCCATGCTTTGGCGCGTTACTGCGAGTGCTGCTTTCCAGTGCCGCGCACACTCCCTCCCGCCGCCCATCAGCCACAAGCACAAGAGCGTAATCCAGCAGTGCAGAATTAGATATGTGGTGGTGGCTGCGTCGAGCTTTGGCCCCCCCATCACGGCACGGCACGGAAAGGGGGCGCTTGCAACAAGGTCGTTCATGCTCTGCGGAGCAAGCTGATCGTAGGCACCAACACGCTTGAAATTTGTAAACACCTTGGGTTCGAATAGTTGTCAATATCTTGGCTTTCTCCACGATTTCGTTCGGAGCGTCCCCGAGATTGAACGTTACTTGATCTCCCTACTCCCTCTTCCGAGTCTTCACTCCTTTCCCTCTCCCTTATTTCACTAACAGAAGGCCTCCGAGTGCAGTTCGTAATAACAGCGGCTCTTTCGGGATTACAACAATATGAACTCATCTTCTTCCCCCTGAACCTAGATGAATCCTGTCTTTGGCCCCCAAATATATTCATGCCCTCATGTGCATACGGCAGAGCTCCGACTGAATCATCCGTGACAAGACACGAGTCCACAATGCAATTATGGTTTCCGGGCACGTTCACCACCTTATGCTGTGGTTTACAAACAAACAACAGGCCGAATAAAATCCCGACGGGAAATGGGAAAAAAACTCTACAACGGTTTTCCGCTTGGACTCCCCAGATATCAGTAGATAGATGCTGGGATGGAAAAAAAAAAAAAAAAAAAAAACAACGGACGATTGGCTCATCATTCCCACATCCACAAACTCGCCCGTTCTCCCCTCCAATACTCGCCCTCATCATGCATTCTTTCACATGTTTATTTGGGAATAAGAACAGTGTTTCCAAACTAATCAGCACAAAGGTTCTCATGCGCAGCGTCTGATGTGCCGCACCTGTCACCAGATGGCTTTTCCCCCGTCCTCGAGGTTATGCCCCAACCCGACTTGAGTTCATCTCATATCCACGTCACTCGCTCGCCGTCAAGCATGAAATGGTCCCCGCGGGCTTTCCAAATATTAAGAGCAATCTCTCCCTTGTATGGCGGGACATGTTCCTGCACAAAAAAATATCCATGGACGCCATGTTCTCGTGGTGCCAGCTCCTCCTACCTCGGTACCTCTGTTCCACAACCTACTTGTAGCAGCATATCCATCGGGTCCATACCCCCCAAAACTCCCTCTAGACTTGTGAAATCAACATGGTCCAGGTCAGAATATCGCCTGTATCCTTCATCATATACGCTAGTCATTGCATAGTCTCCGGTCCTTACATCCCTTGCCGCCATAGATTCCAAAGTGCTAGCTCCCGAGGCTTCACCTTTCAAGGCCGGGTGCACCGGTTGGCCATTGAAAGGGTTCGTCAGCTGGCTCACATAAGTGAGCGCCGTCTCAATTGTAGGCTTTTCCGAAATCAGTTTCACCTGTATCGATTGAAGTGATTCTTTTCATCCTTTCAGTCAGCTTGTTCAACCCTTAGAAAAACTATGAGTAACATCACTTACTGGCGAGACGATTTGCTACGTCAAAAGTTGTCAGATGGGATATGATATAGACCAAGGTTAATGTGAACAAAACGCACCTATAGGCCAGCGAGTTCCTATCTGCTCCAAGAATAACTCCAGCAGGTCAAGCTGCGAGGAGTACAGAGCCTTCTCAGACGAGAGCTCCCTTTCAAAAGACAAGATTGAGCCGACCAAAAGGACAATGTACGAGCACATGGGGTCGACGACGTCGACGTAGGCGGGCTTCCACTTGCGAATGATGTCGGTGGCGTCGTTTGCCTTGTCCAAGATCGAGCGCCAGTGGGCTGGTAGATCGGAAGCAGCAGCTCCGCTCGATCGAGAGCTGCTCATATCTGCCGCACAGATGGCGAGTAGTAAGTTGGTACTAGACCATGCGCCGATTTGATCAACATCATCTACCAATACGTCACCAGGTGGATTTGTAGACTTACCAGGACCAGACAAGCAGATTCTTCAACCGAGACGCGTGATCTTCTTCCGTCTCGGCGATGACCAAGTTTCTGACAGGCTGGAAATACCACAAGGGCAGCGCAAAGGCCGTGGCCGCGCTATCGCTCTCGAGCTCCCGCAGGCGGTCCTCCAGACCTCGGCCGCGGCTGGACTTCACGAGGCACCGAAGGTCTGTGACAGATCTCACAAAGGAGCACACGCCGAGGTAGAGATTCTGGTTCCGGCACGACGGCTGAGAAAAGATGGCTCTCATGGTCTGCCAGTGCTTCGGGTGCTTCGATCTGCTCAGAGAGTCGGGTTGGAACACGTCCTGATGTCGTTCCGAGTCAAGGGCTGGCTGGTATAGGGACTCGGTGTTTGGTAAAAAAGGAAACCTGATTTCCTCTTCCAGACGAGTCGAGATCGGGTTTGGTGACGTCCTGCTTTTGCGTTCCATGTCAGCACAGCAGAGCAGATTTCCCAGCAGCAATGTCGACCTCCAAACTTACGTGGTGGCACAGCAGCAGGCGTCAAGACGGTAGATACACCACCATACCCTATTCCACTCCTTCATCTTACTTCCCAAATCGCCTGCGTCGCCCCCTTGTCTCGCCGTCACCCCATCCCTACAAGCTGCGCCGTCGCTGCCGAGGTAAAAGGCCGTGTCAGACTCGTTACGCTTTCCTCCGAGGTGGAGCTTGTAATAGAGATCAGCCATCCTCGTGATTTTGGTCGCCTCGGTGACCGTCGCCCACGTCAAGGAGTCCGACATGGCGTGGAAGCAAAGGAGGAAGGACGCTTTCAATTCGTCGACGCTGAGGTCAGAGTCGTTGAAGAGACTCTTGGCTCGTTGCGCAAAGTCTCCCGGTGACCACGTCAAGAAGCCTGGGGCTACGAATCGTGATGAAACGGCGAACAAGGCCATTTTGAGACGTGGTGACATGTCGAGCCTCTCTCCGGGTCGTCTGTCTGGGCAAGACTCGAATAACGGGTAGTTTGGCTGTATGTGTATGAAGTATAGGTTCAGTCTTGTGGACTCTGTTAGATCCTGCCATTCCGCATCACTCGGCCGCGTGGATGGACCTCATTTACTGACAGGTAAGTTTCCATTTCAAGGCTCATGTCTGGGCCATAGGACAACGGCATTCCCCATCCACTTTCAGACCAAAACTGAAGGGATACATCTTCAATCGAGCTTGTTGGATTCCTCTCTCCATACGCCGTAGAACGCGAGCCGTTGGGGTAGATTGTCGAGGGGGCGATTCGCCTTCGCGGACCGCTCTCTGACGAAGAGACCGACCCAGCGTTGGTCGAGTGCTTGGGTCTCTTTGTACATCCTTTGGAAGGTCCTGAAACAAACGTAGTAGCACAGGTCAGAAACCCAACTCGAATCAAAGTAATAGTCATTCACTACGCAAAAGTACCTGGCTTTCTTCTTCGTTTGGTATGCGAACAGACTATGCGACGCGTACGGCAGTTGCCGCACGTAGGACGGACCAGATCACCTGTTCCGAGTCCACAATGTTAATCGAGGCTGTTGGGCGGCAGTCAAAGACGTCGAAGTCGCGAAGCGAAGCGACATGGTCTCTCACATTTCGTCTTCTTGCTGTAGAAATGGTGTCAGTCCAGAAGCAGCCCCCCAGCCCCCCTCCGACGATGGAGATAGGTGGATGGAAATCAGTCGATACGAACGAACATTCTACAGTGGTCGCAGACTCGCAGCTTGCCCTCGTCTGATTCCAGGGGACTCAAGCCATCATTGCCTGGGGTAGGGTGGTGGGTCGTAGGAGTCTGAGGCGACTCGGAAGTCATCGTGATCTACCTGGTAGTAAAGTTATTGGCGTCGAGTGCGTCGCCGCGTCGGAGCGGCTGGATGGAACACGAATCGTTGCCCCCGCGTCCGCAGAGTCGGCAGGAGAGAGTGTGTAGTGTCAACGTTGGAGTGGGCCGGCGGGCAAAAAGGCCAGAGAAGCCCAGGCGCCGAAGCTGCCTTAGACGGAGCGTCCGCGTTCCGCGAGCTTGCAGGGGCTGTGGGAACTATGCAGTAGGCTCGAAAGGGTTTAGTAATCCCGTTTCTTTGCGGGGTAGCGGTGGAGTTGCCGGGAGATCTTCACGGGGCCCCTCGTACTTCGTACGCAATCTGGCGCCTTTATCTTCGGTCTCGGCAAGTAGTAGCAGCCCGGGACGTTTTGGGAAGTGCAGTGATCTTTTCCACGAAATACACACGATCCCCATCCATCTCCAACATTTTTGAGTTCGAGAAGGTTACATCAAATCTGCGAAGGAGCAGGCCATCAAGCTATGTGGTACTTGTCATGGACCAAAAAAACACCTCATTATCTAAGTTTTCTCTAGTGCTGCTACGGTTACTCCAACTAAGTAAATTACCGAGCAGTGAACACCACACCGCAGCCTGCATAGCAACACACTTCTACTACGTAAATCCACAGGAGCAGCTAGTCAGCCTCAAGCTAATAGTTGACGCCGACACTTTTGGATAATTAACCGCTAAATCATTTTTTGAAGACTATTTGGTCACGGGCGCCCGCGGGCTGAATCGCACCAGCAAACCCGACTGCTTCGCAAACCAATACGTCGATACCTGCCACTCTGGCTCGCTAGACGCCCACTCAAGATGGAACTGCCTCAAAATCTGAGGTACAACCTTTCCAACCTCCATGATGGAAATATTCTTGCCGATGCAAGTACGGACACCGGCTCCGAACTAGGGAAATCCGGAGATGTAAAATCAGCTCGCTGCGTCAAGGTGGGTCCAAAAACTTTATCAAACACTTTTTATACGTACACTCATATTATGCCGGTCCATCGTCTTGACTGCCTCGACATCGTCGCTGAGCCAGCGCTCAGGTCTGAAGGTGTCTGCATCGTGGCCAAAGATGTCGCGGTCGCGGTGAATCACGGCGGCGTTCATGCCTACAATGGTGCCGGCCGGTAGGTGAAATCCAGAGATTTCAGCCCCCGTCTCGGGGACGACACGCTCGAGTGGGTAGGATACGCCCGGGTGCATCCGCATGGCTTCTTTGATGCACGCTTGGCTGTGTTGTGTTAATGTCGGGATGGTGAAATCGTTAGGGCCGCCGGGGTTGAAGATCAAACTTACAGGTATTCGAGCTTCTGGCTCTCTGCAAAAGTGATGACGGGCGATAATTCGCCTCGTGCTTGTGCTTCGTCGATTTCCTTTTGTAAAACGTCATATACGCGCTTGTCGCGCAAGACGTAGTAGAACATAGCCCGGAGAGCGATTCCAGTGGTATCGCTGCCAGCCAGGCTTTTTGAACACATCAGTTAGTGCAAGTCAATTTGCTAGGGATTCGTGCTCCCTCACAGGTTATTCATCAAGTGATTCATCATGTCCGGAGTACTCAGCTGGTCGCCAGTCGACGCCTGCTCTCGTCGCAGATATGCCAGGAAGTCTCCTCGTTCAGAAGAGCCTGGTTTGGCATCGTATTCTCCGAGGGCATCCAATACCATCTTTACATGTTCCAGTCAACTCGACATGCGTGGGGAAAAGGAGAGAAAGATGCGCGAGATTCTTCGTACTCACATTTGTAACGGTCCGCAACGGGTCATTAGTTCCGAACTTAGTCAAAATCTTCCTGAGCGTGATGTTGCCTAGAAGATACTTGTGCAAGGAAGGTATGACTCCAACGAGTCCGCCATATTCGAGGCCGCCTTCGATACCAGCGATCACATTATTGACATCGCTCCGGGTCTCCATGAAGCCGAAGCGGCGGGAGAAGGTGATGGCGCCGATGACGTCGAACGCGTACCACTGAACCCAGGTGCCCAAGTCGACCACCTGCCCCTGCAGGTCGGTCATGGCATCCGTGAACATTTGCGTACAGGGGTTCACTAGATACTCGAGCGTTCGAATGGACGTCATGGAGTACTTTTGGGCCACCGGTCGCTTGAGAGCCTTGTGTACCTCGGCGTTGGTGGTCGTGAACATGCTGGGCATGAATTCGTCCTCGTACATATTGTCAAAGACATTGTAAAAGTTCGACTAGGAATCATTGTGTTATGTTGCGTTTCGGAGGTCCTTGCTCGGGATTGCACACACCTTCATGAACTTTGAAGTTATGCCGTAGATGGTTTGCAGGGCCGCCGGATCAGAAATGTCAACCGCGTTGGGTGCAGTCCGAACGACTGGCCCGTACTTGTGGTGAAGCTGGCGGTAGTCCGAGTGGGCGTTGCCCTTCCAGACAAAGGATAAACGCCATAGAGGAGTGAATCTAGCTAAGAAGGGGCCTGGGATACTGCGTAGGCCGGGACGAAAAGCTGCTCGTAGTGTGCTGCCCAGAAAGACGAGCAGGACCACAACGAGGCCGAGTGCTAGGTGGTGACTATCGATGGATAACATGATTGGTTTGAAAGATGGGTTTAGCCAAATACCGCGGTCTGACTATTCGTCTCTTGTAGCCTAAGTCGTGACATGATGGACCATTTATACTCTGCACCCTAGGAGTACGCAGCCTTAACCGAAGCACGTCCACCCAATGCTCCTAGCCGTATCATGGTCGGATGCAGTCTTTTGGGGAAATCGGAAAACTTTGGGCTAAGGTGGACTGGGTTCTCCTCACTTCAATCGCCCCGACACATCACAAGCGGGTCATCTGGACGATCCTCCTGAGTCTCCCGCTGTGCACGCATGACCAGTCAGAGAGAACCCCAACTACGTAGTATAGATGGCTGGAGCAGACCAGTAGAACCCTTTCGTTTTCCCCAGTTCTGACTAGTCGAACCAAGCAGTACCCAGCTCCTAAATGCTCCTGACGTCTTTGTGGAACACGCCGGCATTTACCCTTGTTCCAATGCCGTCTGCCGGAGCAATTAAGGCCCAATCCAATGCGTCGTTGGTTCCTCCGGACCCATTCTTGGATGCTCCGGGCGACATAACCCCCCGGCCATCATCGCCTGCGACGGGAACCGACGGTCGTCACGAATACCGCCTCCATTATTGGCCTATGGCTGAGGGTGTCACACCCTCGACGTTGGCATCTCGTCACATTGCCTCTTCTCTTCAGATTTGACGGGAAGAGCCAGGCCCAGTTTGGCGCACGCAGCGTGTAATTAGGCATGTCAACTATGAAATCACTGCACGCATTGGGTCTTCCCCGCCAATCCATTCTGCATCTTATTATTGACATTGAGTATCGGACTAAGCTTACACAGACAGTCTCCATCGCAGGGATAGCGAGCTTTTCATGCTCCTGCCACCACAGCCAGACCATCGTAAATCATCCTCTTCACCTCGTAGAACGTGCTGCGGTGCTGCATCATCGTCGCTGCATCCGCGATACCCACGCTTTCCACCTCCACCTTGCCCGTGCTCGTCTTTCGTACCGCCACAGCGCCATTGATCACCAGCGTACCCTCGCCACGGAACTCGGCTGTGTATCCCGATGACTGCATCGCTCGCCTCAGGTCCGTGAGCCTCAAGTCGCCCACGTGCAACGGTTGTGCGACCGAACGCACCGCTGATGCCATATTCGAGGGTAACAAGTCCAGCGTGGGGACCACCTCGATGTCAATAGCCTCATCCTCTTCCTTCTCCTCCTCCTTGACGTCCTCGCCGGTTTCGCCATCTTCGGTCTCGGTCTTCTGCCTCTTGTTGGCCCCGTCGTCCTTCTCGATAAGCTTTTCCTTGGCCAGAGCCTCAGCAATGAGCTGACCTGTGACAGTCACGACGCCCAGGCCGCGTACATTCTGCCACTTGAGCTTCTTGACCAGGCTGTCCGCCAACTTGACCACCCAGGCGTTTGTGTCGACACTCGCGTCTACCCAGGTGCCCATTGCCGGCGTGTAGACGTCGATCGCGCTCTCCTCTGAGGCTCCAATCTGGGCGGCCAGCAGCTTCTTGCAATCTGCTGCGAGCGCTGTTGTCTCGTCCGTAGTGCCGCCAACCAAGATAAGCTTTCTCGGCTGGATCAATGGGATCAACATATTCAAACTCCTCTTGTCGTGCAATCCACTAAAGTCAACAAACGCAATACGCAAGTTGACCATGACCTTCTCTGTTGATACGATCAACTTGGATGGACCCTGTACCTCCTCCTCGACGACATCCTCCACGTCGTCCAGCTCGTCGGCAACATGGTCGCCTGTCGCGTTGGCGTCCAAATCATCTACAGATCCTGCCCTGTTGTTCTGGCGCTTGTTTGCTGCTTTGTTGTTTCCGTCGTCCCATTTGCGCTTCTTTCCAAGTCGGTCATCATCGTCGTCTCTCCGCAGACCCTCGTTGTCCGGTGTATCTTCCTCCTTCTCCTCAGCACGGAGGTAATCTTCGGGTCGGATGACGTCTCCAAACTGATCATCGCGTCTCCTCCGCATGACGAGAGGAAATGAGCGTTCGCGGCCCTTCTTGCCCCTTACATCGAAGTCGTAGGCACCCCGCTTTTTCGTCAAAATGTTGATGCCAAGATCTTCGTCTGTAAGAACAACCTTCTTGCGCGTTGCCTGACCCATGGTCGTTGAAATGTTGAGGGCTTTGCCCTGCTGCTCGTTGTCGGATTCGCCCGAGTCGGATGAGGAATCAGACGAGACGTCGTCTGCAGCGTCTGCGGGTGCTTGCAAGGAAGCTCCACCGCTACTCTGTAACGTAGCCTGAAGCTGACGCTGTGTAGCGAGCCACTGCTGGTATACGTTGAGTTCTTCTCCGTCCAATGCTTGCTTTTTGGCTTCTTGGATCTCCAACTCCCTACCGCCACCATAGACAAGCTCAAGGCTGTTGCCGTTGCTCGACTCTTCCACCGAAGCACCATCTCTCCGTTCAGTCCACCAATCCCAAAGGGTTCTCGCTATTGATGATCGTTCAGTCAGTGACCTGGCTGGCTTGTCTGTCAGTATGACCAAATTCCTGGAGTCTTTTGCTAGACCTTGGATCAAGTCTTTGGAGAAGCCCCACTCCAGCGTATCGTCGCTTGCGAGAATGACTCTTCCCTCTGCTTGAACATTGTCCGCAGATCCCGAGAGGAGCTTCTCGATTTGTGCCCGGCGTTCAACGAGCTTCAGATATCTGAAGTCGAAAGGCACCCCCTCCTTACTCTTTCCCTCAGCACCATTCGCCCGACGTTGCCCATCAGCAACCGATTCGAACTCCCTCACGATGTTGTCGTCCATCCACTCCAACATGCTTCGTGCATATCGCAGGGTGCTTGACATATTTCGTCCGGCCAGGTACAGTTTTGCTGTCTTGAGACTGTTGTCCGAGTCTACTCTCCAGGCATGTTCGAGCAGATACGCAATCTCCAAAACTCGTGCGCTCGAGTCCACTGGGATGAGGGCGGTGCCTCCTCGGCTAACGCAGGTCTTGATCAAGTCGACAAGCTGCTCGTCGCGTTTGGCGCGACCGCCAGCTTGAGCCACCTTCTCTGCACCTCTACTACTGCAAACTAAAGCCGTCGGCTTTCGCAGTTGTTCGATGACCTCGGCGCCGCCGCCTCCGGCCCCACCTAGCCAAGCGGCTCCGGCGAAGACATTTTCCTTGGCTTGATTCCAGTCGACCGCGTAGACAATCGACTCCAGACCATGCTGAATATGCCATATCGTTCCTCCGAGAGTGTGGCCTGCATTGTAGGCTGTAATCATGAGTCCATTGAGCGGCGGCGAGAAGGGGGACGGAAGGGGTTCGTGAGGCTGCGAGTACTTGAGAGGCTGGATCAGGGAAAAGTATCGTGTAATTTCCTCAGAGGTCGGTGCTTGGAGGAGGAAGTCGCTGTCGGCATTTGGTTTCTGGGAGAAGGAATATGCGGCCTCGGTCAGTGAGCCGTGGGGTATCTTTGTCGCGGCCAGAGGGGTGGAAGCATAGAGGTCCTGGGTCAAGGTGCGGCCCAGATCAATTACAGGTCGGGTAGCGTATACGGGGATTCTCGTAAACAAGGGGAAGTTTTTGCAGCAATGGGCAAATGCAGCCAAGTGCGATGTCGTAGCATGCGTCAGAAGAATGATTGACAGAGTCGGGACCTGTCTAGAGGAGTGTCAGCGGTCGTCAAGTGCGCGCCGAGGAGTAGAAAGGGCCGGCTACTTTTCAAGCTCCCGAAGCTTCTCGACATCGAAAGACTCGTCCCAGCCAACATCTATCAAAATCTTGACACCTCCGTCGAGCTCAAGGATCGATTGCGACGCTGTCGAGTCGGAAAGGGCGCCCTGGAGAGGGCAAAAGGTAAACATGTTGAGTGTCTATTCAGCGGGGCCGCCATGCATCGTTTGAAGATTAAATTCTTGGGTTCGATCCGACATGAGGTCGCTTCAAGGTCCAAACGTGTGGGCAATGACCATAGCGCTGGTGCGCAGATAACAGGAAAGACTGGGTCGCCGTCGTTTGCGACTGTAGAGGGTTTGAAGGGTCGACGATGGAGATGTCGCGTAAAATAAACCAGGGACAGAAAGTTCAAGGAAGCATGCAAAGCGTACGGATAAGGTACCTAGGTACAGGGTGCTCAGGTACGTGCCGCCGCGAAAGCAGCATTGAAGAGCAGGGGCCAGCTGAGGCTCCGTCATGAACGAGTGGATAGGTGGATACCGTGCCTTCATCTGTTACCTACGTATATCGGAGTAGCGGCGGTGCGATTCCGAGCCTGAATGGGACTAGCGTAACTTATCTCCAGCAGGTGGAGACAGGCCCGGCTCCGTGGGCTCCAACGGGTGAACGCCGGAACGGGCAGCTGCTGGAGCTCCCGCATTGGCCAGGGTCGGATGCCAAAAAGACATCGGGTCTGGAAAAACAAGTCGGAAAGTCACCGTGTCAATTTGGCCGGGATCCCTGTTGATTCGTGCGTCTGGCCAGAGGACCGAAAGGGGACACAATTCAAGCTTGTCACTTTTCCAGAAGCTCGGCTTGCCCTCGAGTTTGTCGCCAAACACCCCATTTCAAGATCCTGCAGAGCATGGCGCGCTCTTGACCGCGTGCACGCTTTTCTTGTTCAATTCTTCTGGGAGCCTTAATCTTGATACCCGATCCCAACGGTGCACAACAGCAAGCTACCTCGCCGTGCTTCCGACCTCAGCTAGAAAGCTACCGTACTTAGCCCGCATTTAATTCGAGTCCCCCGAACAATCGACCAGGAGCTTCGCATCACGCAACCCTCCAACACACCGACCACCGCCCATTTTCTGCAAACATGTCTGACTTCAGCATGTACCACCAGCTGGGCCAGGGCGAGCAAGACCCTTCGAACCCCAATCAATCGACACAGCCCGCACCTCCCCAGTTCTCCCCTCCCATCGCGGGGCAGCGGTACCAGCAGGGAGCTCCATACGGCGCCCCTGCTCCTCCCGGACAACAATACTATGGCGGCCAGCCTGGCTCCGTGCCGCCTCAGGGACAGCCGTATGGCGCTCCCCCGGGCCAAGAGTATGCGCAGAGTCCTGGATTCCAGTCTCAGGAAAACTTGGCGGCGCAAATGGGGGGTATGTCACTCGGGGATGGCCATGGCACCGCGAGGAGGAAGAAGAAGGACCGCCACGCATATCACCAGGTCGAGGCGACAGGCTCGTCGCAACCCTTCAACGGAATTCCCGCTGCCGGCACGAATGCCACCGCCTTCCTCAACGACCCCTTGCAAGCCCAGTACGCACAGATGAACCAGTTTCCCGTAGCTGCTGGCCAAACCTTCACCCCCGGCAATCCCGCTTCCCCGGCCGAGTTTGCGACCCGAAATGGCGCTGATGCTAGTGGTGGACCGCCGGCAGTAGTTCAGACTTCCGGCCACCAGAAACTGTCCCTCGACGACCTGCCTAGTGTGCCAGTCTCCCGTGACTCTCTTCAACAACATTACTTCTCCAACGTTTACCCTACCTTTGAGAAACACCTGCCACCTCCCTCGACGGTCTCTTACGTTGCATACGACCAGGGCAACGCTTCGCCCAAGTTCGCGCGCTTAACATTGAACAGTATTCCGTCCAATGCCGAGGGTCTGGCACTTACTGGTCTCCCAATGGGTCTTCTCCTCCAGCCAATGGCACCTCTTCAACCCGGCGAGCTTGAGATCCCAGTCCTCGATTTCGGCGATTCTGGCCCTCCAAGATGCCGCCGTTGCAGAGCTTACGTTAACCCCTTCATGATGTTCCGGTCCGGCGGCAACAAGTTTGTTTGCAACCTGTGCACTTACCCCAATGACACCCAGTCCGAATACTTCTCCGCACTCACTCCCCAAGGTGTCAGGGTGGATCGCGATCAGCGGCCAGAGCTTACCAGGGGCACTGTGGAGTTTGTAGTGCCTAAGGAGTACTGGACGAAGGAGCCCACTGGCCTGCGCTGGCTGTTCGTCATTGATGTCACCCAGGAGTCTTTCAACAAGGGATTTATCGAGTCCTTCTGCGAGGGCATTGTTGCCGCCTTGTACGGTGGCGAGGACGCAGAAAGGGACGAAGATGGCGAGCCGAAGAAGAGTATTCCCCCTGGTGCCAAGGTCGGATTCATGACTTATGACAAGGATATCCACTTCTACAACGTCAATGTGAGTTGCTCGCCAGGACTACAAACAGTCAATAATGGACTAATGGATGCAGCCCGCCCTAGATCAAGCCCAGATGATGATCATGCCGGATCTTGAGGACCCATTCGTGCCCCTGAGTGACGGTCTCTTTGTTGACCCTTATGAATCCAAGTAAGATTGCCTGCCGTGTAATGTAGCACCCTCGCACTGACTGACTTGCTTTAGGGATGTCATCACATCTCTACTTACCATGCTACCCACTATGTTCTCGGACATCAAGAACCCCGAACCTGCTCTGCTGGCGACTCTCAACTCTGCCGTAGCCGCGTTAGAAAAGACTGGAGGCAAGATCGTCTGCTCTCTGGCCGCTCTGCCTACCTGGGGACCTGGCCGTCTTTTCCTTCGCGACGATGGAAAACACCCGGGTGGAGAAATCGACAAGAAGCTCTTCTCTACCGAGCACCCGGCATGGAAGAAGGTGGCAGAGAAGATGGTAGCTACTGGCATCGGCGCTGACTTCTTCCTCGCCTCGCCTTCTGGAGGCTACCTCGATATTGCCACTGTCGGCCATGTTGCAGCCTCTACCGGTGGAGAGACGTTCTATTACCCCAACTTCATCGGAGCTCGCGACAACACGAAGCTGTCCATGGAAATCAAGCATGCGGTCACGCGCGAGACTGGTTTCCAGGCTTTGATGAAGGTCCGTTGCTCGAATGGCTTGCAGATCAACGGCTACCACGGCAACTTCATCCACCACACCTTTGGTGCCGACCTGGAAATTGGCGTTATTGATGCTGACAAGGCCATGGGCGTCACATTCTCTTACGACGGCAAGCTGGATTCGAAGCTGGACGCCCACTTCCAGTCGGCGCTGTTGTACACTACCGCTTCTGGCCAGCGGAGAGTGCGATGCTCAAACATTATTGCAAGTGTTTGCGACAACCCAAGGGACAGTGTTAAGTTCATTGACCAAGATGCTGTTTTTACCATTTTGGCAAAGGAGGCGAGCACAAAACTGGCCGGCACATCTGCGACGCTAAAGGATGTGCGCAATCATCTGACGGAGCGTACAATCGATATTCTCTCGGCGTACCGCAAGAACTTCTTGACTTCGGCGCAACCGGACGGCCAGCTGGTCATGCCGGAAAGGCTCAAGGAGTTCTCAATGTATATGCTTGGTCTGCTCAAGTGCCGCGCTTTCAAGGGGGGTAACGAGAGCTCCGACCGCAGAGTCCACGAGATGAGGATGATCCGGTCCATGGGTGCCAAAGAACTGAGCTTATACCTGTATCCGCGCATGATTCCCATCCACAACCTCGCCCCGGAGGAGGGCTTCCCCGACGAATCTGGGCATCTCAAGGTGCCACCGGCGATCCGCACATCCTTCTCCCGCGTCGAACCAGGCGGTGTCTACCTCGTCGACAACGGCCAGCAGTGCCTCCTGTGGCTTCATTCCCAGACCTCACCGAACCTCATTGCCGATCTATTCGGCGAAGACAAGACGACCCTTCAGAGCCTCGACGCATACACCTCGTCACTGCCCATGCTTCAGACACATCTGAACGCTCAAGTACGGAATATCGTCGAGTTCCTCAAGACGATGCGGGGATCTAAAGGCCTGGGTATCCAGCTGGCGAGGCAAGGCATCGACGGCGCCGAATACGAGTTCGCGCGCATGCTCGTCGAAGACAGGAACAACGAGGCACAGAGCTACGTCGATTGGCTCGTACACCTCCACAGGAGCGTCCAGCTTGAGGTACAAAATCACCACACTCAAAAACCCCTTGTAGCAAGAACTATAGCTAACATGACATGACAGCTTTCCGGCCAAAGAAAGAGAGACGACCCGCTGACAGACGCCAACGCACTAGCGGGCTTTGCCGGCCTGCGACCCAATTACTGGTAAGCGGCGAAGGCAAATAGGAAGTGACTGTGGGAGTAGGAGGCGCCGGTCGATATCGAGCAGTAGTCTTGGGGCGTGGGTTAAACTTTTTTTTTGATGTTTTGAGCGTTGTCAGAACTGCATAAACATTGGGTGTCCAGGGTCTCGAAAAGAAAGAAAGTAGTAAACAACCATCAAAGAATATCTCCAGCAAACGCTGAACAAGCCGGCTCTCTTCGCACTGATGAATGATGTATCAACCGACCCGTCGCAGGGCTCCCTTGGCCGCCCCTCCTCGCGAATTCCACAAACCCCCTTTTATGGCCAACGGAGCCTCTGTCCTCGCTGTAGTCGTCGACGATACTAGTGACGAGGTAGGCCCTCGTTGTGTCCACGTTGATGCCCCCTTGTGAACGTCGTATGCCATCACAAGTAGACGATGAAGACGGGTCCGAACGACGTGCCAAACACATCAGTGGCTGGCCGTGGAAGGTAAAGCAGGACGAGGTCTGAAGTCTCCTCAAGCAATGTTCTTAGGCCACACCCACGCCTGCTCCTGTCGTTGCGACACCTCGAGCCCATGGCCCTCCTGTAGTAGATCCTGGGGACAGCTTTCTCACAGCTCGCCAGGCCTCGGCCCCTCTCGCCGTTGCAAAATCATCGCACCTCTGTCTCGAGCATCCACCGGACAGCGAACGGCTACAAAACCCTGGGTTCATATTATAGTCAATGAGATTCATCCCCAACAATAAAAAAGAGTGAAAGAAGAAAAGAATGCGAGGAAAGTTTAGCTGGAAGTAGCGACATCTCGAACAGGTGACAGTTTTCCATGTATTCCATGTGTTCCATGTACTCCATCATCCATGTACAGGTAGGTAGGTACCTGCTCAGGGACGCGCCCCACGGGATAAATTACTATAGCGACAAGTATTATAAGGGGAAGCTATCCATGGCATTAAGTAGGACCATGAGCCAACATATTTCTTTGCCAGTCAAGACTACAATTACACCGCTCGGCCATCGACTGCAACGGATATTGCTTGTTCAATTACTACCGCGAACACGGTCCCTATTAGTCCCCTATGATATTCAATGGCCTTTGCCTAATTGAAAGTGCGACGACCTCAGCATTACTTATGTTCGCATGCCTTCCAACCCTCGCCCAACACTATTGAAAGGTGACTATATTTCCTTGTCCAGGGCTCTGAGCCATGGGATAGGATATGGATCCCCGATCGACGATCCCCTTCAAGGCTGTGTACCAGGTTATAGCAAAAACCACGCCGCCAAATGCGGACAGCAATGAACGGCATAATTAGTACGACACAAGTTCTCACTGAATTCCAGTCCTCCCAGCATCTCCCTCTCTCTCACTGTCCCAAAGTTTGATGCGAGACTGTGAGATGTGAGATGTGATAATGGACAGAATACTGATCAAAATACGGGAAACAATGGAATGACGAGCGGCCGAGGTGGTCCACTCGTTCGTCCGCCAACCTAGTTTCGCACGACACGATCCCCCGTGGGGGGCGGGTTTAGGAAATTCGACGGGCGCGGGTTGCTACTTCTGGCAATATCTCATCTCATCGGGTTTCCCCCCCCTCGAGAGGTGACTGACGTTTGCTCAAGGTTTCTGAGACAGATACTAGTACCTACTTTGTGGACCGTTTGGGGGCGTGCGGGAGACGGACAACTTCATCTTCTTTCTCCTGCTAGTCCCAGCGCCCACCACCGCCACTGTTTGTTTTACCTTGTTTGCGTACTTTTCCCTGGTTGCACGGCGTTGCTACCCGGCCCAGTTTTTTTTTTTCCTTGGACACCTTTTTTTTTGAATGCCCGGCATATAGGTAGATCTGACGGACGAAGGGGGGGGGGAGGATGGGAATGATATCACAGGGACGAACGAGTGGACGTCGTTGGGTCTGAGGGCTGTGAAACATGCCGTCTTCCGGAGTAGCCTTCTCACCAATCTCCATCCCGTCTCCCGTAACACCCCTTAGCTCATCTTCCAAGTCCAGATGGCAGGTTCTCTCGGTATATCCGGGTTGGGTTGATATGCATGCTCTGGACGGGCCCAAATATGAGACGATCGACCCGAGCCGGGTTGGGCCTCTCTGCGTCCCTCCCTCCCCACCCCGTCAGTCTGGTGCTCGGGAATAAAAAAAGGGCAGGGAACGGTGGGTGTCGGTGGTGCCGGGGGTGTTCTAGCTGATCTGCGCGCAGCTGCAGCATGCGTGATCCCTGACGGAGATCAGTCGCATCGCTTTTCCTTACCCATGACTTTGACTGACCCAGCTTCCCTCTTCCACCGATGAGGCTTACATGCATGTCTCAGAAACGAAAAAAAAAAAAAAAAACCCCATGGTGAGAGGGGGAGAGGAGGGGGGAGAAAAAAAAATTCTCCTCCATTCCCCAACGTAAGGCGGGATCTCCATCCGGGAAACGCCTCGTCTTATTTTGGGCGGCTCAAAATGCCAGAAGAGGAAGCGTTGGCGGTGGGATATAGTTACCGCCCTACAATGTCTCTCATCCCTCCAAGCGGTGAGCTGTTGATGATGTACCTACCACAGGGGACTCTTCTCACAGTCTCCTGCCGCACATGACGTTTTGGGGATTCCCGTTGGGAGAAATAAAACAAGAGGAGGTAGCTTGCCACCTTGTCCCACTCCTTTGATCCGTCGAAGCATCATGCCATGCACGACGGGTCGGGCGTCGACGCAGCAGCGATCACCCGCCCACCCATGCCCATGGCGAGTTCAATGCAGAGCCCATCAAGAACAGGGACGCACGAAATCCTGTCAATGGTGTTACTGACGAGGGAAAGGAGGAGAGCGCAACGACGATGCTGTGCTGCACTAGCAATCATTTCTTAGCCCTACCCAGAAAAGGAAATCACATCATGAAGAGTTTTTTAAAAGGGCGTAAATGACTTCCTCACCCCCGGGTCACCAAAAAGACGCCAGTATATCCCTTGACCGCCGCGCGGGCAGAGAGAAAATTAAAAAAAAAAAAAAAAAAACACACAGAAAGAGAGCGAGCCGCGGCTCTTTTCGCAGAGGCCCCTCTCCCTACACAGAGATAGTCCTCGCGGAATGTCTTTTGCATCTTCACCCCCGCCCCCTCCTCCGCGGGTGTTGGTGTCTGGTGTAACCGACCATATCGGGGAATTGGCAGGGAGCCCAGCTCGGCACCTTTCGCACGAGGTGTGATTGGATGGCCAGACTCCCATGGCCCCATGCAAGGGCCAGCATTTGGAGAGGGCTACGGGATGTGCGACCGCGGAGTGCCCTCCGGTCCCGCGTGGTCGGGCCCTGGTGGCGTCAGCCCCCGGTTCCAGGGGTTCGAAAGATATCCCCTCTTTCTCTCCCGCGATCCTCCCTCTGACCTCGAACGTTCTCGTGACGCTTGGGTTCATGTCACCATCAGTCGGGTAGACAGACAGGGAGGCGAGTCTGTTGTTTGTTCGTGTAGAAGGGGTTGCGATGGGAAACTCTGACGGCCTACGAAGTCTCTCCCCGGTTGATAAAGGCCGTAACGGGTCTTCTGCGTTTCGGCCGTACCAGGTGTCACAGGCAAGATGCCTCGCATCAGCCATCTGGTGATTCGGTAAATTGAGAAATGACAGAACCTCTCGCCGTGTTCGGGGATCCTCCCCGCCTCAAGGTCCACCTTGCTGGTCTTCAGAGCCAGGTCAGTACTAGTATTGTTTCTCGAGAAGGGGAGAAAAAAAAAAGTACATTACTTGGGGTGGTGAGAGTGGGGGGTCCGTCGTGGGGAGTGCGGACGCAGTGGTACCCAAAGTTTCCAAAGTTCGAGTCGATCGAATGTGCCGGTCAAGATCTGGCATGCAGGCAGGGGTGAGGAGGTATTTGGATTTTTTGGGACCACTGCCGAATTTTTTCGTAAATGACGAGGACATGCGCAGCGTTGTTTGCGCTCAAGATCATGTCAGCTCCCGAAAAAGCAAGCCTGGGTGTCCTCTCAACCCTCCCATAGGCACTCGGGATCCCAGTCGAAGATCCCGCCCACCGGACGCTCAGCTCTCACAGCCTATCGTTTCTTCGCCAGCCTGACCAACCGCGGCGTTGGGAGGACAATGGCAGAGACTCTCGCTATTCCATCCCTTCAGAGACACCGGTTCTTGAGCATTCGTTGGAGAGCCAAAGGTTGCCGCCGGTGAACAGGCAAGACAGGCGAGCCTTCTCTATTCTTGCTTTTCCTCGTCAAGTGGCGCCGCGGCACGTGCCTAGGCAAACATTTTAGTATGCCCAGGACAAGTGGATTACGAATTCGACAGAGAAGCGGGCAGAGACTGAGACTGAGACTCTCGCCCATTCCACTGGTCGCGGATGTTGAGCTTGCCGTTGTTGCTAGGACGTTTTGGGCGACAATCTCAGTGCTCACATCCAACTTCCCCAAGCGCGGGAATTCCGAATCGAAAAGGGTTGTCGCTATTTCGGTTTTGCTGCAGGTTTTTCTCCCCTTTAGTCCGGGTGAGCAACTACCCTCTTCGGCATTTTTAGTGGCGACATGTGCTCCAGATTTTGCTGAGCCATGATCATCGGCCAGGCTTGTCGTCGGCATTAGACAATAGAGCCCTCACGGAGAGACCATGTTGGCAGGGTGAAAATGAGGCGGGCTGCAACAAGGAAATATCCCTTAGACACATCAAAGGCTGCTGGACTGGAGAGGTTGCGCGCGCGATGGCTACCCCTACATCCAGACGCCCCAAGAAAATGTGCAGCGTGTAGTAACGAGGAAGATTAAATCATGCTTGAAAATTGCATCCGGATATGGAATATGAGGGGATTTGTGACTTGACCCTGGTGAAAACGCCAGACACCTGCAAAAGCTCCCAAGTCCCAAATACATCGCTTCTAACCTGTCTGTCCTGCCCATCCCAACGCCGCCAGCCCGGAGTCGACCACAAGACGATGCCCACAAAATAATCAAGGAGACCATCGCGAAAACTCGAGAGAGGAAAAAAGATGGAGAGAGGGTCAACGACGATCCCTGGAGCTCGCCGAGCCCAATGGCCGGAACGGGTAATAGACGCCCAACGTTGGAGATCCGGGGACCCTCTAGATCGTAGGCCCGACGTGTGCAAGGGCGGAAAAAGCAACCAGCGTGGGCCACTGAACTAAAAGCCCGGTCGAATAATCCAAAAGATGAGAGCCCCCTCCCGGCCACTGCGAGCCAATTAGACCACTTGGACAGGGGTTTAGCCGTGGAATAGTGTTGGATGGCCTGTGTTGCGAGACACAAACACCCCCTTCTTGTAGCCATGTGTTGACATGACAGGTTGTACGGCGAGACACTACTGTCCCCCCAGGGTATGTCGCCTCAGCCAGCCTGACGTACGGCCAGGTCTCACCGGTTCACATCGAGTACCCATGAGTGAGACATGAACCTGGTCGAGGATGCGCCAAGACCACGTCGGTCAAGAACCATCCATGATTGCAGAGAAGGCATAGCGCGGGTCGGGTTGGCTACGAACTCTAGCGATCTCGCTCGTTGCGAAGATTTCACTAAAGATTTTGAAGTCACTCTTGTGACTGGACGAACTGCCGCTGGAGCTTGATGATGACGAGCTCTTGGATTTGCTTTTCGAAGAGCTGCTGCTGCTACTCCCTTTCGTTTTCTTGGCGATGTCGTCGAGGATACACTTGGCTGTGCATTGCCGGTCGTCCTCGAAAGCGAACATGACGGCTAGGAACTGCCCCCTTAATTCCGGGTCGTAGAGGAAGACCTCGCGCCAAAGCTCTGCCAACTCCTTGGGCGGGTTGCGGTAGCCGTTGCCGAGACCAAAGTCGCCAATTACGACGTGGTTGTAGCCGTTAAATACGCAGATTCGCAACGCGGCGCGCATCTTGTTCCGTACCAGTTCTCGCTCTTCCGAAAATGAGTATTTTCGTCCCATGTCTGTGAGCTTCGGCCATCGCGCTGGCGGCATGGAAATGACTGGAAGCGACCTCCAGTCCTTCATGTCTAGTGACTCAATCCTGTCCTGGAACTGGCGGAACCGAACTGCCCACCTCATTAGTAAAGAGGATCTAAAATGCTAGATCAGGTATCTTGTGCCTACCAACGTCAGGGGAATAGATGGCTCCTTCGATCGGAATTGGATAGTTGGTTGGCAAGCATGTATCCGGATGGGGAGAGCCCAACGTTGCCGACAGATTGCTGCGACGGCACAGTCTTTCCTACACAATACATCGAGTCAGAGGCTGCGTCATATGCGACATGCTGTTGCCATCATACCTCATAACCGACAACACCTGTCTCCCAATCACCTCCGGGTCGCTTTTCATTCGCGGCACAGATGAAAGGGATTCGGACCCCTTCGCTCTGGGCCCAGCCTAGTGCGCAGTCGACAGGATCGCTGTGGACAACATCTGATATGGTTAGCCGTGGCCCCGAAGCCCCACCAGGACTGGACATTGGGTGACCCTTACAAAAGTTGGGTAACTCTGAGCTCATGAAGGCTGGACGGCTGAGCGGAAGTTGGAGCAGTGGTTGCGAGTAGAGCACCGAGTAGGGGGGCCAATCTTCGCGGAAGTATTTGTTGACTTCTGGGATCAGTTTCTTCTTGGTGTCCGCAGCAACCTCGGAGGGCTTGATCTTCAAAGGCTTCGAGGAAGGCATTACGAGCTCGCGAATGCAATCCAAGGATTGCTTGAGGGTGATGAAAGAGGGCTGGTTGCTGTGTAGGATTGGTCCTCGAATAGATGGAATATGACGAGTATGGCTTGGGAATGAGAGACCAAAAGAGCTTCTACCATGGGATACCCTCGTAGCTTTAAGTATGCCCCTCGCAATGAAGAGCCGTTCGGGAGGCGATTGTGGCGGCCGGCTGGGAGACCAGCAGCGCGGATAGGAGGAAAAGAAACAATGACGAGGTATCTTGGGTCCCTTTGCAGAGGAATGAATTGCTTCGCCTCGCCAGGAAGCGAGAGCGGTGAAGGGTGTATGATGAGAGTGTAACCAATACTTGCCGGATCTCAGTCAAGTCTGCGACATTCCAGGGTAGTGTATAGGAAGGGCGCGTAAAGGGTGGGTGGGCTTGCCGTGGTTGTGATGAGATATGTCTTGCTTATACAGAAACCCGGGTCGTGTCACGCCAGTCTTCCCGTGATTTTGGTACGTGGGATCCGATCGAGATACTACTGCAATCTGCCGCAGTTATACGAGATCTTCCTGTATCCCAAGATCTCACTTGAGGCGTTCTTGCGAGCCGGGATTGCATGACTGGAGCAAGCAGGGCAACCGGGGGTCGAATCCAGGGTCAGCTCCAGATGTTGGCTAAAGGCGACGTAGTGTCTGAAGACAGGCTGGGCGGGGCGGGAACTAAAGTAGGGAAAGATGGCGAGGGAGAATGGGATGCGAGTCCCAGCTGCCCGTGCCGTGCCTTGGTTAGACCATGGGATGATAAGCAATAAGCTGGGCATGGAAGAAGCAAAAAACCCAGCTTCATGGTTCTTGGACCCCACTAGACAGGGCTGCTTGTTTAGTGGCTGGACACAACGAAGAAAGGCGAATTCATCCTTGGAGTGAGGCAAGATGCCGATGGTAGATGACAGGGCCTTTTTTGGTTGTCTGTTTGCCCGCCGAGGACGCGGATCCATGTTCAACATGGGGTGTAGACGAATTCACCCTCACGTTGGCAGCCTCGAGCCAAAGGGAGAAGAAGATCGGGAACAACGAAGGAAAGAAGAAAAGACCGTACTCGATCGGATTCCAGATCCATGTCATGGGGTTGCTAGTCGACATGTGTATTATCCCGAAGTCGTCACCCGTGGCCAGTGTTTGGTGTCTCGGGAGTCGAGGGCGGAGCAGATGATGAAGAAGGGCAAGAATTGGACTCGATCAGCCAGACAAGGATTCGGGGGCCCGGGTTCCAGCGACCACAAGTCGGTCCGCCATGTGAGTCAGCCATGGTAGAAGGTGAACAATCTGGCAATTACAAGTCTTGTTCAGAGGGTGTAGTCAAAGGCCTAAGCCGAACAGCTGGAGAAGGCGTCCAGTGACGGGGATGGCATCCGATTCGGGAGGGCATGTTTGTGGTCTGGAGGGATGCAGACGGGAGGAGCTGAGTGGCTGTCTTGGCCGCCGAGGAGACAAGAAGCTTCCATGTTGTCGGTACGTACCTGCCTAGGTGATCCCCGAGATAAGGTGTCGTCCGGTTCTCTTATCTTATCTCATATCACACCGGGCAGCTAAGGTAAGGCGCCTAGGTACCTAAGGTACCTTACCTTCGAGTCAACCTTAGCTAGGTAAGGAAAGGAACCTTAGGTACTCTGCCATCTACCTGTCAAGAGGGAAGGGAGAGGTACATCTACTTTGACAGAGACCTCAGCCCCCACTCCTTGGAATTGGAGCTTCCCATTCGCACATTTTTTCGAGCTCCGACCTCAGTCATCGGTCGCACGTCGTCAGTCGCGAAAGAAGTCGTTCCTTTCCTCGCAGTCGCTCGCAGTCGCGACTCCTCCGCTGTCTGACTATCCATCCTATCGACCTCTGGCAGTAGCAGATCCAGAGGATTTCTTTTTTCTTGGTCTCCTGTTTCCACATCATGACGCGGTAGCCAGACGGATTCCAAGTTGTCTTCATCATGCGAATTCCGGTAACAGCCTCTTCGCGCACGCTTGCGCGCCCCTCTCTTTTACATGCCCAACCCATCCGTAGACGACACATCACGACAGTATCACGAAAGACAGTCGCCCAATTTCTGGAGTGGAAACCAGACACCGAGGTCAAAGATGTTGTCGTCAACGGATACGTCCGATCTGTCCGGAACATGAAGACGGAGCGATTCGTCAACATTGGCGATGGTTCTTCCCGGTCGCCTATCCAGGCACTGGTGTCGAGGAGCCATGACGAAAGGTGGGTTTTTCTTGGCTCTCCAAGTTTGGTCACTGTCTCGGAAGCTCTGATTGCTGATGATTTCCCAGCGCAAACTTGCGAGTCGGTGCTGCAGTCCGCCTACGAGGTGTCTGGACTCCCTCCAAAACTGATGGTCAGAGTCACGAGTTAAAGGTCGATCATGTCGAGATCCTAGGCCCCTCCGACGCAAAGGTAGCCCCGCTGTACTTCCTCATTTGTCTGAATTCACTCTAATGCCGTCATTGTGCCAGACATTCCCAATTCAGAAGAAGTATCAAACACCCGACTACCTTCGCACCATGCCCCATCTCCGACCCCGGATACCGTTGAATGCCGCTATCTTACGATTGAGATCGGAGGCCGTCGCATTGTTGACCCAGTTCTTCGCCTCTCGAGACTTCATCCAGACTCATCCGCCCATTATCACATCTTCAGATTGCGAAGGGGCAGGCGAGGTCTTCAACGTCCATACGGGTTCCGCCGAGACACCCGCAATTTCGACAACGGGCAAGGACAAGGCGGCAAACTTGTTCTTCCGCTCGCCCAAGTATCTGACTGTGTCTACTCAGCTTCATCTTGAAGCGTTAGCCCAGTCGTTGGGACACGTCTGGACATTATCACCGACCTTTCGAGCGGAGCGCAGCGACACCTCAAGACACATGAGCGAGTTCTACATGCTGGAGGCCGAGATGAGCTTCGTTGACGAGCTGGACGAAGTCATGAATCTCGTTGAGGATATGCTCCGCAGCTTGGCTACTGGCTTATATCAAACCCGCACTGCGCAAGAACTGCGCCAACGACAAACCCCAGGAGAGAACCGCACAGCAGAGGATGACCTAGTTCCCATAGACGAAGTGGAGCGCCGTTGGTTGGGGATGATGCAGAATCCAGCTTCCAGATGGCCACGCATCACGTATGCGGATGCAATCAAACTTCTCAAGGCAGAAGAAGATCAGTTTGAACTCAAGCCTACATGGGAAAGCGGCCTGCATTCTGAGCATGAAAAGTTTCTTGCCAAGACTCTCGGTGCCACCAGCGATTCCACCGCCTATTCCCCCGTCTTCGTTACCCATTACCCTCGGGAGATTAAAGCATTCTACATGCGAATATCAGATGCCGCAACTGCCGGTCCTCATTTGCCGAGTGACACAGTCGATTGCTTTGATCTTTTGGTCCCCGATTTGTGCGAGATCGCCGGAGGCTCGATGCGTGAGCATCGCTTGACGGACCTGTTAGCGACTATGACGGCTCGCGGCATGGGCTCCCAAGCTATTCGCGGACAGGCCGAAAACAGCGGCAGCGATCTCGACTGGTACGTTGATCTCCGTCGTTGGGGCTCCAACCCACATGGCGGTTTTGGTCTGGGCTTCGACAGGTTGCTGAGTTATCTTGTGGGAGTCCCTAACGTAAGGGACGTTGTGGCCTTTCCACGCTGGTTCGGCCGGTGCGACTGCTAAGTTGGCCAGTCGACAGCCCAGAATGAACCGCACTCTAAGTCTTGCCAGTTCAAGATGCAGTCGCTCGTTAAGCTTTGCCTACCTGGGATTGTGGAAGCCGGGTTAGATGAAACCAGCACGACGGACGTTGCACGGCGATGCGCGACTTTCGTGCAACTTGACCGAGCATCCTCGATCCAGAGTCGTCTCGTGCATGTGCACCATGCAACTGAGCTGCCAAAAGCGACGTCTGAGACCTGGTTGCAGAGCTCAGTGCTCTGTGTGCCCGTGGCTTGCAGTTGACAGGATCCAATACCCATGGGATGTCCACGCGACGTTGTACGACGGAAGGGACCAAGCATCCGGTGGCTCGGTCTCACTCGATATGTAACGCGAATCGAACCACCAAGGCAGAGTCGCTCAAGCCGATGGCGACGGTTTTCCCAAGCTGCTCATCGAAATGGTGGAAAGGTCCAGATAGGCCACTACAAGATATCAGAGCCAAGGAGGCAGCACTTGCTTTGGCAGCCAGTTATTGACTCGAGCCATTGCCATCTTCGACTATCTACTCTCAGCTTCTTGGGACACATGTTTAAATACTTTGTAATTTCACCGCAGTCTTGTGTTGTGTGCTACATAGCACGGCGTCGGACCCTGTATCAATATCGTGTACAATACTATGCCAATGATCTAGACATCTCAATTGTATGAGTCACTCGTCGGAGTCACTCGTCGGAGTCACTCGTCGGAGTCACTCGTCGGATTGCCTCTCTGCGTGTGCTGCTTAAGAGAGGCGGTTCCAGCTCGCCCAAGCAACCAGGGCTTTTCTCCTTGACGAAATCGTTCTCAGGAGATCAACTCTGTCGTGTCGACAAGCAATAGCAGTCGCATACCTGGCTCCGTTGCTTCATCGACCATTGAAAGGCCCTCATGACGCGGAAGGGAACCACCCCAAGCGCTGGATTTGATGTATCATTTGCGTAGTCCTGAAGTCTGATACGTGCGGAGCCATTTTGCGGACATGAACGCGGCTTCGCGGTCTCATTTAAGGATGCTAAGCGACTGCTTCAGACCAAATTGGAAGCCATGTTGTTTGCCAGAGCCTGTTTCTTTACAAAAATCTCATGCAAGAGTTCGGGGTATGAGGATGGACTCAGACCTTTGGATTAGACAGGAATGAGGCGAACATCATCCATCCGCAAAATGACCACGATTATGAAATGTTGCCGCGTCGTCTGAGGCTTTGCGCCGTGGATACAACCAGAATGGTAATCGTTACAAAGAAAAGGCTAGTCTTCACAAATGGTTCAACCCATCAAAACGTCAAACCCAATGATACGCGCCAGTAAGGGGGGCATTTCGCCCATCGACGAGCAATTATTGATCATTAATTCACCCCCCCAATGCGTCCTCGCCACAGGCAAATTACAACTTGCAGACTGTCATATAATAGGGCGAGACACTCGATGGAGAACGGAGTCGCAGTGTTTGCGGGGACTTGGAGCCCCTCGGAAAGCGAGACATCGTGAGCAGTGACCATCGAGGATCCCGACACTTTGATGATGCCAAGGCCATGAGCCTCTCTTCGGGCTTCAACGGCCAGGGCCTCTTCATTTCTGTACTGCTCAAAGCGATGTGGTCACCCCGCCCCCCTCTTGCGAGAAATAGATGGACGGACGCCTTGCTGTTATGACATGTGCATGCCAACAATGCCAAGCATCACCCAAGATGCTTGGCACGAGCTGTTTATCAAAGACGGGACGCGAACCTTGGTGCCCAGCTCTGATTCGATTTTCCACATCGAGTTCGCAGGGCAGCATAACACAAAACCCCTTTCAACCGAGGGATGTTATTGAGGAACTGAGCAGAAGGGCCACAGAGACCTGCCTAGCCTATTCGTGCTGTCACCACAAAAGGGAAATGCTGCAGTTCCTCTGTAGGCAGGGCCTTGAGCCCATGTCCGAAGACCGAAGGGCGTGACACACACCAACCCAAGGATCCGAGAAGTGACAGGAAGATCAGCAAAAGCTTCGCCTGAAGTGGGGGGGATGAGGGACAAAGTGCGCACACGGCAACCGAGAACGGCGCCTTTCCCGTTCTTGACACTTGTTACTCTAGTTATCAGGAATGTGCCCGCTGCAGCCTGACATCTTAGCATCACCCGTTGCTCCCCACAATCCGAAGAAGAATGGACGAGGATGAAGTTAGAGGGGGGGGGGGGCCTATCACGAACGACGCTGACTGTATCCGTAGTCGGCAGTGATGGATAGCGCGGGCATATCCATACGAGAGGATATGCGGAACCGATGTTGCCGGCACGCATTTCATTCCAGTGCCACGAGGGAATCCAGAATGGCGCTATCGCTAGTTCCCCGCCGTCGACGATTTAGTGCGGATTTTTTCTCCCATCCTCTCCTTTGCCTTGCTCCTTGCTCAGAGACTAAAATATTTGCTCCGGGGGGGTGGCCGCGTCAGCAAAACAACCAACCGCTCGCTCGCCCAGCTCCTCCCAATCCCCCTAATGGTTGATGATGTGTGATTGACAAACCACCCCCTTGATCCTTATTAAGCCCGCGGGAAATTTTTCGAAACCAGGGCAGCAAAGCAGGGCTTTCTTCCTTTCTCCACTGCGGAAGAAGCATTCGCTTTTGGAACCAAGCAGGGGATTAAAAAGCACAGAAAATCATCGTATGTGGGGCACACCCTGAAAACCCCCCTATCGAACGAATGAAGCTCGATATGGCGTGGTGGCTGACATTTGAGTATCGAATTAAGCTTAAGCACACCCTCGGGATCTCGGTGGGAGGAAGAAACCCCCCCTCCCAAGCCAAGCCAAGCAACCAAGAAAGCCTGCCTAGTTAGGGAGCGTCACGGCCTGTGCGCTGCGGCGTTTCTCGCGTTGTTGGATGTAAGGGTGGCATGGCTGGATCAACGCCCGTCTGTCTTGTTGGTGCTGGTCATGGTTTCAAGGGAAACTAACTTCTTTGGCTGAGGTTATGTTTTTCTCCCCCCTCTTGAGTGGTCTGACATTGACAGGCAAAGTGCGTGCCTTCTTCACATCGGCCCATTTATTTGTCTCTCGCAAGGTCGCGCCCATCCTCTTTTGATGCTAGTTTCCAACACTAAGCGGACGACTGCGTTCTGCCGCCTTAGGCTTTGGGTGCTAGAGACTCTAGGAGAAGAGGTTGTATCCCACATGAAATGCCAAAGTTGATAGCGTTCAGCGTGGAGAGCATACTTTGTCAATTTACACAAAATCAGGGACTTGGACAATCAAGGACAATGCTGGGCCCGCGCCTCCGTGACGGAGATTAGCACCGCCCCGAAGACGCCGGTTCGACCGTGAACGGTGACACTCTTCGACAAGAGTTTTTGAGTTGACAGCCAAGGTCCGCCAAGACGCATCCGAGGAGGCCCCTGTGGATTATCGCTGACGGGCCCCTCATCCAGTAGTCAGGGCGCCGCCAATGTACATGGTAAGGGCGAGAAAAAGGTCCCAAAGCATCGGGCGTTGGTTTAGACGATGGTTCGTATCGGGGCCGCGATTCGCCCAGCTTCCAAGTATCCTTCAATACACAATCTAGTCTGACTGGCTGAGGTAGGCTCGGCTTCGCTTTTGGGGGGGGTGGATGGTGGATGGTGGATGGTGGGTGGTCCAGCACTGCCCCAATGCCAATGCATCAATCCGGTGGCCAAACGGCACTAGAGCGGTTGGTTAGTGTTTCTCTCTACGGAGTTTAGTCTGCCAATCTTTCGGGACCTTTGGAGAGACGGTTGGTCCATGGGCCGCCGACGTATCCGGCCATCCGTCCGCCAGGTTAAAGTATTCAATTTGGCCCGGCACCGTTCTGTGCCGCTCAAGCGGAGACCTCCATCCCATGTCAGCCATCAATCACCGACGCCGCAACCCTCCCCCCGGTCGCCCCCATGAGCCCCCGTCGCGAGCCTCTTTCACCAGGAACCTGCCATTCTCGACGTGGGAGGATTGTCGAGTGGATGAAGAAGTGCCCAAGTCAGGGTTTCAGACCGCAGTACTCTTTCTTGAAGATCACTAGGTAGGCAATAGTGCAATACCCAGTTCACAGACCGATCAGCAATACAGATAAGGTCAGTTGGAGCAGAGCCAATAGGCAGCGGGGATGCCTTCATTCTTGACCTTGCATATACGGGAATCTACAAGGAGCTCGCCATTGAACTATGAAAACTCAAAGGCCTTTTGTCCATACTCCCTTGGTGGACAAGCTCGCCCGGCCGCCCGTAGTTTATACCCGCAAAGATGACAAGCTCCGGAAGACAGAATAAGGTTTGGCTCGCGAGCTTGTCATCGACAACTCGCTCGAGCTCGCAAGCGCTAGTAATGCATTATAAACCAGAGTTCGGGTGGTCGGTCGCCCCTGCGGCCGTTCAATCGTATTCCCGTATAGGCAAATATCGCTGTGGCGACTGACTGCTGTGCTTATGAGGGTGTTTCGGTGGTTTCGGGAATATATGTTCGCTCATGAGAGTGCTTCACATCGTCCTATACGAGGGCGATGAGCCTGATTCCCTTCTCCGCGCGCTACTTGCTTCCCCCAGTGAACGCGACATACTCATCTAGCTTATTCAACGCTGCCGCGTACATGGTATGCCGCCCTTGACACTTTCTTGCATGGTATCCCCACTAGAGAAAGCGCAATTCCGGCCAGTCAACCCCGAGGTTGCTGGTGTTTCGCTGCCAGGTTGGTGGGTGGAATTCCGGAAATCCAGCAGATGGGTTCCTCGCTTCAAGTGCCTAGTCCTGGCGCCATCTCGCCCACAGGATCTGAGCTGCAAGGGGCAACGGAGCCGTAATCTCTCTCTCACCGGTAACAGAACTTCTTGAACCCAGTAAAGCTTCTGGTAGCGAGGCTCGTCGCGAATCTTCCGGCTCTTGTGGTAGGCGGGGCATGTATTAGGCACCGCCCTGATCATGCTGAACCCGCGTACGAGGGCGTTCTTCACTTGAAGCTGCGTCGTTGTCGACCGCTTCTTCTACCTTGATA